GCCGTTACATGCTGACCTCATGCATGGTACGTGTCTTCCTATAACTATATTCGTGCGCCTGTACATCGTGCAGCCCAAGGGCCTGCAGGAGGGACGCCTCGTGTACTCCCCGCCCCGCCCGCCGCTACATGCTGACCTCATGCATGGTACGTGTCTTCCTATAACTATTTCGTGCGCCTGTACATCGTGCAGCCCAAGGGCCTGCAGGAGGGACGCCTCGTGTACTCCCCGCCCCGCCGCCGCTACATGCTGACCTCATGCATGGTACGTGTCTTCCTATAACTATATTCGTGCGCCTGTACATCGTGCAGCCCAAGGGCCTGCAGGAGGGACGCCTCGTGTACTCCCCGCCCCGCCCGCCGCTACATGCTGACCTCATGCATGGTACGTGTCTTCCTATAACTATATTCGTGCGCCTGTACATCGTGCAGCCCAAGGGCCTGCAGGAGGGACGCCTCGTCTACTCCCCGCCCCGCCCGCCGCTACATGCTGACCTCATGCATGGTACGTGTCTTCCTATAACTATATTCGTGCGCCTGTACATCGTGCAGCCCAAGGGCCTGCAGGAGGGACGCCTCGTGTACTCCCCGCCCCGCCCGCCGCTACATGCTGACCTCATGCATGGTACGTGTCTTCGTAGAACTTTATTCACTAAAAAGTGGAATTCTTTGCCAGTGTATCTGTTTTATATGGGATAGGTGAATAGACAGATCATCTGATGGTAAGCAATCGCCGCCTATGGACACCCGCAAAACAGAGAAGTTACAAGTACGTTGCCGGCCTTTTGAGAGTATTTGAGAAGTTTGGGGAGTAAGTATACCGCGTCCCTGGCTCGTAGGGAGTTGGAACGATGTACTTTTAATCAGTCTGACACTCCCTCACGCCTCACCCAAGGTGTGATGAGTAATTTGATGATTTTTTCCCCCTCAAAAAAGGTAAGTAGTACACATAACCAACAGCTTACGTGTTTTCACGCTTTTCTTTGCCAATCTGTAATTCCTAAGGATAAGTATTTCGAAAGACATTTGTCACTAACCCCGTACTCTTACAGAGTCGACTAAAGCATTTGTTATTTAAGAGAGACAAGACAGCACCTGTCTCTAAAACGTAATTGTTATAAACTGTAGTATCCAATCTGCTCAGCGTGGATATTAGGACGGGTTTGTGTATAGTATCTTTTGTAGACACCCGTAGTCACGCAGTGGACTTACGGGTTGTCGATGATAAAAGAGCAGAACCTAATGTTACATAAAACTAGGTCGCCCAATCACTTCGCCTACCAAAAATTACATACTTATGTAGCATTATGATTACCGCGGTGAGCGTTTTCGCAGCATGGTACGGGCATAATTTTTTTTTTGACGTAAACCTTTGTCTCTGAACTCCGAAAACATTTATTTATTTTGCCATGAAGAATTAGATTTGTATTTGTAGGACAGACAAAGCATTTTTTTTTCTTTTTTTTTACTAAAGCCTCGAAATCAGGACAATGAGCGCGTTTCGGTTGACAAAAAAAACAGCTGGCCGCTATGCAGGTAAGGAAATCCTTCCGCGTGATTGGCTAGCGTTTTGCTTGACCGTAGACCACAGATCGTGCGTGGTATATCGGCGTCCCGCGTCTGGCGTTCGGGAAGGACATATTGGCGCGCATTTTGCAGTTACGAATTGACAATACTGCTGTAGTCCTTTAAAAAAAAACAATCCAGAAAACTACCAAAGCGGATGTCGCTTTGTTAAATAATATTACCATGCTTAACGAAACAAGTAAACTAATGTTCTTTTATGAATATAAATAGTTATTTGTAAAGAAAAAGAACAAATACGTAAAATAGAAGTAAGCTTTTAGAATGAGCTTTACATTTTTATTTAGTTGGATACAATAATAAGGTAGTTTAAACTAATCAAATTTATTCATTCTATTTAAAATTTAACTCTATGAATTTTGAATGAAAATCTAAATCAATGTTATACCTTTTTCGTAAATACATGCTAGAAAAAACATACAGCCGAATTGATAACCTCCTCCTTTTTGGGAAGTCGGTTAAAAAATATGAAAATTAAATAATTAAAAAAAATGTTTTAAATGTGCGTCTGGTTCAAAAGACGCGTTACTGTTCATTACTTATGTAACAGTGATTCGTACCTACATATTGTAAAGAAAATACTGTGGGTATTATCCAATTTGTAAAGACATGATATGGGTGCTTTAGCCTGCATAATCATATTTGTACCATGACTCTTATAATCTGGCCGTGTCTCTTTTATAATGACTGCCATGTTTTTATGCTATATAAATAATTTATAAACAATTAAGTAAAATATGAAAATATTAAGTAAATCGTGAAAAATTGAGTACTTATGTCATAAAAAATAACCAGAAATATACGATAATTATATAAAAAAATACACTACAAATGTGCATATTGAAAATTTTTATTTTTGGTTGAGAAAACTACCAAGGTTTTGTTACAATTTCTTAGCTGTGACCTTGTAACACTGTTGCATCGTTATCTGTTCTCTATGGCCAGCGCCGAGCGTGCAGTTTGCATTATTGTTTGTTGACTCGTCCCGTACGGTTCTGTGCCAACATCTCTTGTGTTCCCTTGCCGACCTCCCGAGTGTTCTCTTGCCGACCATCCTAGTGTTCTCTTGTTGACCTCCCGAGTGTTCCCTTGCCAACCTCCCGAGTGTTCCCTAGCCGACCTCCCGAGTGTTCCCTTGCCGACCTCCCGAGTGTTCCCTTGCCGACCTCCCGAGTGTTCCCTTGCCGACCTCCCGAGTGTTCCCTTGCCGACCTCCCGAGTGTTCCCTAGCCGACCTCCCGAGTGTTCCCTTGCCGACCTCCCGAGTGTTCCCTTGCCGACCTCCCGAGTGTTCCCTTGCCGACCTCCCGAGTGTTCCCTTGCCGACCTCCCGAGTGTTCCCTTGCCGACGTCCCGAGTGTTCTCTTGCCGACCTTGCGAGTGTTCTCTTACCGACCTCCCGAGTGTTCTTTGTCAACCTCTCGAGTGTTCCTGTGCTAACCTCCCGTACGATCCTGTGTTAACCTCCAGTGTTCATTTGCGAAAATACTCTTTGTCTTTTTTACGCAATGTTAAATATGCAAGAGTATTATAGTGATTACGATAGCGACGAGGAATGGGAATTGATGCAGGAGCATAATGCATGTAATTTCACATATATATTATTGTAGTTATTATACCTGTTAATTAGATTTTATTGGTTTTCATTATAGTTATTTTATGATAAATCAATTTGCCTATTACTATGAATATTACAATATTGTTAGTATATTTCATCAAAACAGCGTTAGTTTGATTTCATTAAATATGTATAGATGTATACTATTATACACGCTGGCTGTCGCTGCAAATGCAGCGCCCGGGCCATGTAGCGCCAGCCATTTCGCGCTGAATGCACTTTTTTTGACATTTTTTTTATGTTTACAAGTCTCGGCGTAGATAACTTTCTTTATCGTGCGGGCCTTTGGAGTAGCTGATACTTTGATCTCTATGTTATCATAGATGGTAACATAGGTACTACTTAAATAAAGTTATGACTAGAAATGAAGCATCGGTTACAGCTGAACTATGAATTTCCTTTACAAGAGTGTGTTTGCGTGGATGGTATGGACGCCATGACTCAAACGCCACTGTCAATCGCAAAAAATCATATGATCAAAGAAAATAAACAAACAACTACTATGATTTATGAATATAAATATTTCTATCTAAAGTCATGAATTCATACATTCATACGTCACCATAATTAAGCTTTTTTTAAATAAGCTTTGAACGTTTACTTAATTGCATAGAAAAATAGGTAGTGAAAAAATTAAAAATTCTATTGCCAGAAAGAGACAAAAATATGTTGCTATTTCGTAGCAGTGACCTTGTAACACTGCAGCTGTCATGTTACTCTATTGACATAGATATAGAGTCGCACCATAAATGTCAAAATTGTTGGCCTTGTAACACTGCTGCACTGTTATCTATTCTCTATGGCCAGCGCTCAGCGTGCAGTTTCCACCATCATTATTGTTTGTTTACGCGTCCCGTGTGGTCCTGTGCCAACCTCTCGTGTTCATTTGCAAACGATTGTTTTTTTTTACGAAATGTCAATTAAAGAAGAATATTATAGTGAATCCGATAGTGATGAATGGGAAGAGTTAAACGAATCGATTGGAGGTAATGAAGTATTTATTTTATTGCCGTTTGTATACAAACAAGACTTTAAACGAGCTTTGTTTACTGATAAATAAATTTTCCTATCACTATTATTTAATGTCTTACTTAACTGTAGTTTACTCCAAAGCACTTACTTTGGTTTAATTAAACTAGCTTGTATTATACATATATAATTTCCTGCAAGCTGGTGCCGAAAATGCAGCGCCCGACCCGTGCAGCGCCAGCCATTTTGCGCTGCGATGCATTTTTTTATATTTACAAGACACGACATAAATAAATTTCTTTTCTTTGTTATACACTACTTTGGGAGCTTGATCTGTTCATCTGTATGAACTTATGTTAAAAAGGTACAACAGATTAACAATATAGGTAGGAACTTAGGTATAGGTCATTAAGTAGTACTTAGTACTTAAATCTAAAGCACGTTACACAGCAGTGTGTAACTTGCTTTACCTACAGGCCTCCTTTATGCACCTAAATAGGTTTGTTATAATGACCACGCTCGGCAGGCGTGTTGTATATCGCGGTTATAAGGTACACTTTTATCAATGAGTGCTGTTCCCAGGTCTTTGTCAAATGTGTATTTTCTTATCAATATTCAAAGTAAATCAACCCTTACGACACACACAAAAAGAATAAACTTCCTTTGTCACCACCCGATGACAAAGAAATTATATGTTCAAAGAAAATAATGTAGTTTTTGTTCCAGGCTTATCGGAGTTAGCTCTCGAGGACAGCTCCTCGGAGTCTGTGCCTGCGACTATCGCGTCTAGCATCTTGCAGCAGCAGAGCCAACAACTCAAGAATTTGCTCATGCGGTCCCAGGTAACTGAACTTAATAATAATTCACAGCATTTCTTTCAATTAAACAATGCTTAAACGGGCGCTAGCTATTTGAACGTCCTAAAAACCTTCAAATAATTTTATAGTAACTACTGAACACAAAAAATAGTTATTTTCAAAGTATTAGTCTTAAAAAATTGAATTAAGCATTGACAATTTAAATATCCCGCAAAAACGCTTCTGTATACAAGATGGCGTCACATCTGACGAAAATAAACACAAGATTATGACAGGTGGGTGACATTTTTCTGGCATGTGACGTCACGTTATCAATACTATCAGCTTCCAGTTCTTTAACTAACAGAAATGAATTATAATTACATTATGTAAAAAAGATCTATTATTCGTATAGTTTAAAACAACATTTTAATGGTTTACTAATAATAGTCAAAAACTATAAGCAGATAAGATAATGGAAGCCATTGTGAAGGAAGAATTGCGAATGTCATTATAAACCATTGTCAACAGATAAAATAGTAATTAGGGTTTTAGTTAAAGACCGTTTAAAAAAAAAATGTTATTTCATAACATGTCCAGTGAGTTACTCAATGTCCAGTGTCTCTTTGTGTTAACTACTGCTATATTGAATCAAATTACAACTATATTATTCTATAAACAATGTTTATTTTAGCATAGTCAATAATTTGATTAACCATTAAGTAGGTTTTCAGTACTTATCATCGTTAAAAATATATATTTTGTCCTAGACTCAGCCCGGTAGCCTGATTGGTACTCGTCCCGAGTCGCCATCTATGGCACCCCAGCTGAATTTGATGACTCCAGACGCTTTCAGGTAAATACACAGATAATAATAATAATATAACAGTTTTTATTGTGCCATATTTGAACCTTTTTTTTGTTGCAAACTTTTTTTATTTGACACAAATGCTGCAGTTAGGGGCTGGATATTTTTCTTTTTGTTTATTTCAAAACTTTCTATTTTGGCATTGATATGAGAAAAGAAACCCTGGCACTATACAATGTGCAGGTAACATAATAAAAGCAAAACTTTACAGAGGCTGGTACCTGGTACAGATGGTTTTGAAATGAAGCTAATCGCGTCGTTTTGTATGGAAATTATGTATTTTGTTCTTAATTTGTTTTATAAACTTAAGACTATGTGTTTATTTAGTTCGCCGGGCAAGCGCGAGGAAGATGACCCACCATTGTCCGCTACACCTGACGTGAGCAAGCCGCGCAGCTCCACTGGAGGTAGGCATTCAGAATATATTTTTTTATGGGATAAGCCAGTAAATAAGAAGACGGATCGCCTGATGGTAAGCAATCGGCGTCGCCCATGGACACCCAAAACACCAGAGGGGTCTTTTTTTAAGGGGGGAAAAATCATCGCATGACTGCTCTCGCCTGGGAGAGGCGGGAGGGAGTGTCAGACTCTTACTGACTAAAAACCACCCCGTTCCTTCTCCTGCACGTCGAGCCGGAACCCGGTTACCCGTTAGGTTCTCCACGACACCAGAGGGATTACAAGTGCGTTACCGGCCTTTTGGGGAATAATAATGATAATATTATACTTCACTGTAATACAATGATTTACGTATAAACCACGGTTTATAATTCAATCAGTAACACCTTATAATAGACCATTTTTAAGTTAATTGATACTTTAAATGTATTGTTAGTATTAGTTAGGAAAGCAATTACTATAAATACACATTTCCCAGAAATTTAAAAATTACTTCACGTAAAGTGACGACATCTTGAAAAACTCTTATAGCACCAGTTTGATAAAAAAATCCAGCACATTTTCCTCATAATTCACACTTGAACAAAGAAAATATACTAAATTAATTATTATGTTTTCGGCTTACTCACGTAACTGTTTGACGGGGAACTCGACTAGTTTAAAGCCATACTAGAGGCTCATATTCATGAGCAGCATTCCGCGACCCGGCGACTATCGCCCTGCCCTACATGAATATGATGAATGGCTTGAAACTCGTCGAGGTACTCGTTAACCATTTACGTGAGTAAGCCGAAAACCCAAAAAATATTTATTTTCACTTTTTGCACAATGGGTATACAATAGCGGACTTACTGCCTAGTGGCATTCTCTAACAGTCAACCTTAGGGTTGGTTATCACATTCGTTATCACATAACTTTATTAACTAACATATGGACATGTTTTTATAATAACTATCCTGAGACATACTAAATTAACCAAAATCGCGGGTTACTCACGTGAATGTACTGAGAAAAGCTCTACTAGTTTTAGTTAATTTAATAAACATTATGAACATTTATTGAACATCAACAAATAATCAGATTGAAAACAAAGAAATCTCCCCACCACATACATTTGTTAGTTGAACTTGTTGTTATAAGAGCAGCTAAGATAGTATGTTAACATATTTCTCGTCCCAGGTCCGTGTGAGGAGTCGCTAGCCGAGACTGCTGGGAAGCTAGCGTCGGCCGGCTCCAGCCCCAGTAGAGAGGTGCAGCAGATCATGGCGCACAACGACCATCCCTTCTTCAAGGTATTGTAACTTAAACTTTCTAGTAGGTCCAGTAATCAATTCTGGTGAGAAGATAAGATTCTTGCTCGTTATTCTCCATTGGAATTTACACTTTAAGAACAGACCGACAGATTGACTAATTTTCATTTTGCTTAACGTTCATGAGTACCTTATATTGGGTACTATCCTTTATTAAAAATAAATTATTTCGACTATTTGACTTTGATATTTAATTCAGAATTCCAAGCACCAATAACAACGGCATATATACTTAAATGTTATATAAATATGATATCCTGTTTGATGTAAGTGTGGTACATAAATTAATAAATAGATTTGACCTTTAATATTAGCTCAATGATAAATAGTATCGTTAATTTACTTAACATAGATTAGTTTGCAAGTTTTATCTTAATGGAAACTTCTTTCCAAGCTACTTTTACGCATCTATATATCTATAAATAATCTATGGTATTTTAACTCTCATGATATGTACGTCTTAATGGCGTAACTGTTTGACGAGGTAACGCGACTACTTTCAAGCCACGCAACCATTTCTTAGTTATCTCGTTGTCTGAATAACCCGTCATTTTTATTATTTAAAATATACAATAATAATAATTAAGAATAATTTTAATATTTCTATAGTCCCAAGGCGTCAAGTTTGTATAATATAATATATAAGCTCATAAAATGATGAAAAATAAGTAATTATGTCATTTGGTGACAGGAGGAGGAGGTAGAGGAGCAGGTGGAGGTAGAGGAGGGCGAGGCGAATGGGTCGGACGAGCTGTACGAGGCGGCGGCGCTGTACGCGGCCGACGACGTGTTCCCCGAGCCCGCGCCGGCCGCGCCCGCGCTGCCCGCGCCCGCCCTGCCCGCGCCGCCCGCGCTGCCCGCGCCGCCCGCGCTGCCCGCGCTGCCCGCCAAGCTCGTGCACACCAGTACGTACACACTGCATTTTTATATTATAAGTTGACGTTTTATAAGTCACTGTATTAATTCTATGTGTAACAAATAAGGTTCATATATTTGTAATCAATTAATTGTTATATCAAATTCTTTGGCAACCCCCTCAATAACTTATCTGTTATGGCCGTTCCTAATATTCAAACCACGGGTAAAGATAGAGATCTATCCTCGATAGTCAATTAAAAACTATTGTATCTTTTGATGTCCTCCCAATAACTAAAATATCTCCAGATATCAATAGATATCTGAGCCTTCCCTTACGTTTTATTGTATGGAGAACCCCACATAGTGCTACTAAATTATAATATTGTTTTCAAAGCATTTTCTCATTTTTATTACAAACATTTTAAAATAATTAACGAAAGCTTATGTTCTGCAGTAATTTTATAATAAACAATATTTTTTAAGTTTAATATAACGAAAGCTTCGTTTTTGCGACTGGAATACGCGCAAACAGAACGTATTTTTTTTATAAGATCGACATTTGCCATTGTTCTATACACCAAAATATTCAATCCAGTATCCAACCTACAGCTACAGCTGATTGATCATACTTAGTTTGTGATTTGATTTTGTTTACAATAATTGTTAAAATGTAACAAAAAATTGTTTGTTTCAATTTAAAATAATTGCCAGAAAACGCGGTCCTAAAATAAGAATGAATAACCTAAAAGTACCTATGCAACAGTAATTATTATCGACAGATAAAATATCTATCCCATGTAATAATAAATTCCTGGATTCCATGAGCCGGAGCCCCGGTAACCCGTTAGGTTCTCCGCGGCTCCGTATCGGCATCAGCCCTATTGGGCCCCATCCGTGGTGGTCTGATGGCTCTTTGAGTACGTACGTTCGGGTCTAAAACAAGGGGTAGATAGAATATTAGGAACGGTCGTTAATCGCTGTGTAATGAATCAAACCTCTGTTTTACAACAGATATATTAAAATAAAGGTTTTTTGCAGATAGCGACACCTGGCCGCAGATATCGGTGCCACAGATCTCGGAGGGCGGGCGCAAGGCGTCCAGCGACAAGTCGGGCAGCCAGTCGGCCAACGCATCGCTCAACTTATCGGCCGACCGCAACGAAGAAATTCGTTGTTCCGGCCTCTCTCCCTCTGATAAGACTCGACTTGAGGCACTCGAACATAAACTGGATAAACTTACCGGTGAGTTTCTTTTATTCAAAATAACTAAATATTATTTTTTATTTACAATAAAAATATCTAAAGAACACAGTTTTGGGGTTCAAATTTTGCATGGAGTTTGGAGTTATCTATATTTAATTATGTATGTGTCCAAAATGAAAAACCTTGGCAAGATATCCCCTTTCCTTGTGTAGGAAAAATATTTAAATATTAATTTTGTTATGAATACAAAATATGTATTTAAGTCGTTTAATTCAAAACAAAGCGACCGATAATAAGTAGGAGGTACTGAATTCGTCCGTATTTTGTTTTATTTTGCAGGTTGATCTTTCGTGTATTTAATTTTGTAACGTTTATGTCAGAAATGCTGAGCGTCCAGACCCGCGAGCTGCGTTCCCTGCGCGGCGCGGTGGTGTCCCCGCGGGACATCATCGATGAAGCTCTACATGCGCACACGCAGCGCACCACGCAGGCTGTCGAGAGCGCACTGGCTGACGGGTATATAACCATGTTGTTTTAGTTCAATTCTTAAGTTTAACTCGTGAATAATGTCAAAAGTACAATTATTATGTACTTACATTTTATTTTATCTTTCGTAATATCTAAGAAGTGAACGAACGACCCGCAATCAGTCATGTAAATGATTGACTGCGGTCCGTCCGGCCAGTAGAGGTAGTCGTGTAACGTGCGTGTCGGTAGCTGGGAGCGCATCGGGCGCGTGGGCGAGGCGGCGAGCGCGCGCGCGGCGGCGGCGGGCGTGGGCGCGGCGCGCGCGCTGGAGCCGCTGGCCGCCGCGCTGCAGGCCGAGCTGGCCGGCAAGCTCACCGCCACCGACGCCCTGCTCCGAGAGAACATCGAGAAGCTCGCCAACAGCAAGGTACCCTCCTACCCTAGCTGCCTCATACACTCCCCCTCTAAACCTAGTGAACACTATTCTGACTAAAACACATGATGATACATAACGTCATACTTATCCCTCTCTCTAAACCCGCCGAGATGGGCATAAACTACACAATACGCATAGGAACACAATATGACACTCACTCTCTTCTTTCTTTCTTCTCTTTATTATACTTAAAGTCCCAAGCAATATTAGAGCTTAGACCTTATACTTAAAAAAACCGAAATGATTCCAATAACGCTTCAATACTTCATTTTGAAAGACGAATACATTGTCTCAATACAATAATTTAATTTAATATTATCCTACACAGACCATTATGGAGCGTCTAAGCACTTCGATCGCGAAGTCTCTGTCCGACATGGTGCGTGAATCGTTCCGCGAGGCACTCTTTGAGAGCGTCATACCCGTCATGGAGAAGACGCACGCTCAAATCTTCAAGCAGATCAACCAGGCCTTCCAGAATGGTACTAAGGAATGTAAGTACTCAAAAATCTTTAATGCAAGTAGATACAGATTAATGGACATAAAAATGGTTATACTACAAAATATAGTTACACGTGTTGTTGAAACAGTTGACTATGACGTCATCTCTGTGTGAAACTCTTGTAAAATATGTAATAATAAAGTCAAAGTCAAAGTCAAAGCGTTTATTGCAACTAAGTGTACAGATGATGGTTATAAAATGATTTACAGTGCTTAATACTTAGCGGCCTCTTACAGGCATTGCAACATTTTTAGTTATGTAGGTATACATTCATTGTTATTAACATTGTAGGTAGATATTACAAATCATAAAGAAAAGAAAAAATAATAATAATTGTCAGGTAGGTATATGTCACATCATAGTAATAATCAATTCAATAGGTATAATTGCTGTCGAGTTTAGGATGTCAATAATAAAATTATACAATGTCAAAAGTATTACAATGTTATATTATGTCAAGTAGGTATAATGAATCCGTCATACATTTCGTTTGTATAGGGCAGATCGACGGTTCCCACATGAAATGAAATTATTTTATTTTGGACTCTAAATATTCCGTCACTGAGTAGAAGCATTCTTTTATTAGGTATATCTTTAGTCGTTTTTGAAATACTAATAGTGATTTTTCAGATTTTAATCCATCTGGCAATTTATTATATATTTTTATAGCCATATAGTATGGACTATTACTTAACATTTTTATTTTTGATGGTGGCGCACATAATCTTTTTTTATGGCGCGTGTTGACGCTGTGTGTATCTTCTACTCGTGTGAATTTGTCGATATTTTTAAAAACATAAATACATATATCAAGTATGTATATTGACGGGACGGTTAAGATTTCGTATTGTTTGAAGTATGGTTTGCAGCTTTGTGTACTATCTATTTGGGCTAGAATTCTTATACACTTCTTTTGCATTACAATATTTCATGTACGTTTACACTATTTCCCCATAACATGGCTCCGTAGCGTAGCCATGAGTATGCATAAGCGTAGTAAGCAGCCATAGCTGTATGTGTGTCAGTGCTTTGTTTTATTTGAAAAAGAGCGTAAGTGAATTTAGATAATTTGTTTTTTATGTGTTCTATGTGTGACTTCCAATTTATGTGAGTGTCAATATTAATGCCGAGTAGGCTAAATGTATTAACTTCTTCTATTTTTATGTTATTGAATGCTATGTCTAGGTTTAAGGGAGGTCTTTTGTACGATCTAAATTGCATCAATTTAGTTTTGCAACTATTTATTTCTAAATTATGGATTTGGAGCCAATTATTCACCGTTTTGAGTGTCTGCTGTATTTGCAAATTAGGGTATTCTAAATTTTCACACTTCATTAATATGGAAATATCGTCTGCAAATAATATTGGTAATGCTTTATTTTTGTCTAATGTTTTGGGAAGGTCATTTATATAAATTAAGAACAACGCGCATCCTAGCACACTTCCTTGTGGGATTGAGCAAGTAATTTGCTTTTCACGTGATCTAATGGCATTCATGACGTTTTTTTCGTGGTCGGCATATTCAATTTGTACTATTTGCTTCCTATTGTGTAAATATGATTTAAACCAGGAATATGCAGGTCCTCGTACGCCGCAACCATATAGTTTAGTTAGTAAAATGTCATAAAGTACCTTGTCATATGCTTTTGTCATATCAAGTAGTAGCCCAATAACATGTTGTTTGTCGTTTATGTATTGTAGTGCTTGTTGAATGTATTTATAAACTGCTAGTGTTGTTGATCTACACTTCCTAAATCCGTTCTGTGCATCGTCAAGAATATTGTACTTTTCCAAGAATTTACAAAGCTGATTACACATTGCTTTTTCAAATACCTTAGAAAATGTGGGTAGTAGTGCTATGGGTCTATAGTTGCTTGCAATATGTTTATCACCTTTTTTATGTACTGGTTTTACTAAAGCCACTTTAAGAGAGTCTGGAAACTGTCCATCTTGAAAGCTTTGATTAACCATCTTCATCAGGGGAACGGATAGTTCCATAGCACATTGTTTTAATAAAAATGGTGGAACGTCATCGATACCACAGCTATGTTTATTTTTAATGGATTTTATTATATTAACTATATCCCTTTGGTCTACTGGGCGCAAATACATTGAACAAGTAGGAGGGTTAATTACGGGCTTACCAATGCTTTTATTCGAATGAGGTGTTTGGTTTTGTCCTACCGTTGCAAAGAATTCATTAAAGTGGTTGGCAACAATTAGTGGATGTTTTACTTCATCATTGTCTATTTTGAGTATTATATTTTCTCGTCTATTTATTGTTGTTTTGCCTGTTTTTGTATTAATAATTTTCCACATAGTCTTTACCTTATTGTCTGATTTTTGCATTTGTTTAATATAAGTAACTTTTTTTGATTTCTTAATAGTCGATTTTAATATTTTTAATATAATTTATAATGGTCTTTTATAACACGACTTTTGGTTTCATTGAGAATCGTTCGTAACACTCTTTTATGTACGCATGATTTTTTAAGCCCTTTTGTAAGCCAACTTTTATTTGGTTTTGATTTTATTCTTATTTTTTGCAGCGGTATATATTTATTTAGATTATTTTTTGTATTATTGTGATGAATGATTCATAATTTATATGTATGTTTTTGTTGTTACTTAAGACTATTTCCCAATTTTCCAATTGTAATGATTTTTTGAAGCTTTCAACGTTACTTTTTGTGAATAATCTGTTCTCGATGTGCCAAATTTCATTATTGTTTGGCGAATATTCGCAGTTTAATTTAACATTTATTGCCTTATGATCTGATAGCCCATAGTCTTTTATAGTAGCTGTATTTATGAGCGGTGGGTAGTTAGTAAAAAATAAATCGATGCAAGTCGATGATGTTTTAGTCACTCGTGTTGGTTCGCGAATAATTTGTTCCAAGTTATATGCTTTCATAAAGTTTAAGAACTCATGGGTCTGTTTATTTTTATGACCTACATTTATGTTAAAATCACCTCCTATGATTAAGTGTTTGTGTGACTTTTTAGTAGTTAGTTTATGTAAAACTTTACCCAATTGTTGATAAAATAAATCAATATGACGATCTGCCCTATAAAGTCCTATAACAGTACAATTTAGTTTACGTAAGTCAATAGCACTAAATTCTATAATATATTCCTTTGAATGATTTACAATGTCTATGCGTTCTATAAAGTCTACTGAGTCTTTTACAAAAATACAGGTTCCTCCGCCTTCGCGGGTTGTACGACAAAAAATCGAGGCTATTTTATATCCCTGAGGTAATATTGATTGGCAATAGTTTTCACTTTTCCACAGTTCGGATAAAGAAATTAAATCAATTTCAGAATCGAAAAGTAATTGTTCTAATGAATCTACTTTGTTACCGATGCTTTGAATATTTTGGAAAATTAATGTAAACTTATTCAATGGAGCGATTTTGTTCCTTGATATTTTGGTCTGTTTACGACATACTTTGATGTTGGAGAAAAAACTGTGAGTCACCCAGTTCATCAAATACCGAAGTCTTTGAATGACTTTCTTGTTCGACTTCAGGGATGGTAGTTGTCATCAAGTTTACAGCGATTATATCTTCCATTTGTCGTTTTATATCGTCGAATATAGTGCGCATTCCATTATTATTTAGTCGTCCTGTCGAATAATTAAACATTCTATTGTCATACTTAAGGTGTAGGTTTGAGTCCAGTAGGTATGCATGTAGGTGAGTCATTATATCCAGGTACAGTAAATCGGCAAAGTTTTGTACTCGCCAGTTGAACAGATTTGAACTATTATTCAATTTAAAAGTAGGTAGGCATAGGATAAGATTTGTATTTTCAATTTGTTTCAAAGTATTTCGTATGTCATAGATTAAGTTAAAGTAGTCATTTGTTACATTAAAGTCTTCCTCACCAATTAATATTATGCAAAAATCATCCTTAGTATAGTCTTTTAGCTTACTATTTATTCCTTTGAGTAGTTGTTGGGTTCCACAGTTTGGTTGTAAGTAGTGACATATATTATAATTTCTAAACGTTGTTTTTGCAATTGATAATACTTTATTCGTTTTGTTGGTACTTATGATACAGATTTTATTTTGTTTCTTTTGACCGCCTTGCAATGTATTTACCTCTAGTTGATCTTTGCTGTTTTCATCTACATGTTTATTTATAGTTTTTTTATATTTTGAAGAGTTCTTTGGTGTATTTCGCGGGCAGTTGTTCTGTTCAAGTAACTCCTGATTAATTCGTTTGAGATTGGTATTCTCTAGAGATAATGATTCTATTTTATTGTGAGCGCTATTTAATTCTGTCGTCAATAGTTCAATTTGTTTTTTTAGTTGAATAGTTAGGTTATCTTCGTCATCTGAAGAAGTGTCCGGTAAACTTAATGTGCTGCCATCTATTGGTGATCCTACTGATGTTATACTTTCATTGTCTTTATTTGAAGTATTTGAGCTGGACTTAGTCCGGTTGCGACGAAACGTGATATTGTCTAAGAAATTCATTTTTGAAATCTTTAATATTCCAAAAAGTAGTCACAGTTAGCGGGGTTCGAACCCGATCTTCGAGATCAATTCTATACTGTTTATAACTAAGCCACTCGAACGTTACTCAAGCGTGTTGAAATTGTTTAGTGGTTACTTCTTCGTAGTTTTATTTACTTATACCCACGATATTATTTATGGTGATAGAAATAGAAAATACTTTAATTATGTTCTTCGATAAAGATAGTAGATGTTTTAACATTATCGGAAGTCACGTTTCACTTGTAAGTTTGGTTGAAATTATTGAGTGATTTTTCAAGGCGTTTTGAACAGTTTTGTTTTGATTATTTGTATCACAGTTACATTCACTAAAAGTGTCACTAGTTTAATTTCCGAGGCATTTTTATTTAATCGCGTCACAATTTATTCACAGCACTGTCACTAGAGCTTTAGATGTTCAAGCACATTTCTATGTAGGATATTGTACTAACAGTGAATTGTTTATATTTTTAAAATATTTTTAAACACGAACTCGAAGTCAAAGTAAAACTGATTGCTATAAAATGAAGATGAACTGATGATAACAGATCGCTATAAAATGAAAGTAATCCTTTGAGAACGATTTTCCTATTATTTTTAAGAACTTTTGCTTCAATGTCTTTATTTAAGAGACAGGCCTGCGTTGAACTAAAACTCCTGTAAGCCAGAATCAGTCAACAGTAAATGCATATGTCCTAGCGACACATGAACGATTAAATAAATCAGAAGATATCATTAGAGGAGAAGAAAACGAGTTTGTTTTGGTGTAGCAAGTAAGTTTGTATATACCTTGTCCAGTCGCGGCCAACACGGAGGCGGCGGCGCGCGCGGCGGCGGAGCGCGGCGGTGCGGCCGCGGCGGCCGGACTGCGCGCGGCGCTCGACCGACACGCGGACGCGCTCGCCAGCGCCACCGCCGCCACGCAGCACCTGCACGTCGCGGACGTCATACGGGACGCCACGCACAAGTAACTACACACATACTTTATACTCACAAGCTCGCGGACGCGCTCGCCAGCGCCACCGCCGCCACGCAGCACCTGCACGTCGCGGACGTCATACGGGACGCCACGCACAAGTAACTACACACATACTTTATACTCACAAGCTCGCGGACGCGCTCGCCAGCGCCACCGCCGCCACGCAGCACCTGCACGTCGCGGACGTCATACGGGACGCCACGCACAAGTAACTACACACATACTTTATACTCACAAGCTCGCGGACGCGCTCGCCAGCGCCACCGCCGCCACGCAGCACCTGCACGTCGCGGACGTCATACGGGACGCCACGCACAAGTAACTACACACATACTTTATACTCACAAGCTCGCGGACGCGCTCGCCAGCGCCACCGCCGCCACGCAGCACCTGCACGTCGCGGACGTCATACGGGACGCCACGCACAAGTAACTACACACATACTTTATACTCACAAGCTCGCGGACGCGCTCGCCAGCGCCACCGCCGCCACGCAGCACCTGCACGTCGCGGACGTCATACGGGACGCCACGCACAAGTAACTACACACATACTTTATACTCACAAGCTCGCGGACGCGCTCGCCAGCGCCACCGCCCCCGCACAAGCCACAAGCTCGCGCCGCGCCACCGCCGCCACGCAGCACCTGCACGTCGCGGACGTCATACGGGACGCCACGCACAAGTAACTACACACATACTTTATACTCACAAGCTCGCGGACGCGCTCGCCAGCGCCACCGCCGCCACGCAGCACCTGCACGTCGCGGACGTCATACGGGACGCCACGCACAAGTAACTACACACATACTTTATACTCACAAGCTCGCGGACGCGCTCGCCAGCGCCACCGCCGCCACGCAGCACCTGCACGTCGCGGACGTCATACGGGACGCCACGCACAAGTAACTACACACATACTTTATACTCACAAGCTCGCGGACGCGCTCGCCAGCGCCACCGCCGCCACGCAGCACCTGCACGTCGCGGACGTCATACGGGACGCCACGCACAAGTAACTACACACATACTTTATACTCACAAGCTCGCGGACGCGCTCGCCAGCGCCACCGCCGCCACGCAGCACCTGCACGTCGCGGACGTCATACGGGACGCCACGCACAAGTAACTACACACATACTTTATACTCACAAGCTCGCGGACGCGCTCGCCAGCGCCACCGCCGCCACGCAGCACCTGCACGTCGCGGACGTCATACGGGACGCCACGCACAAGTAACTACACACATACTTTATACTCACAAGCTCGCGGACGCGCTCGCCAGCGCCACCGCCGCCACGCAGCACCTGCACGTCGCGGACGTCATACGGGACGCCACGCACAAGTAACTACACACATACTTTATACTCACAAGCTCGCGGACGCGCTCGCCAGCGCCACCGCCGCCACGCAGCACCTGCACGTCGCGGACGTCATACGGGACGCCACGCACAAGTAACTACACACATACTTTATACTCACAAGCTCGCGGACGCGCTCGCCAGCGCCACCGCCGCCACGCAGCACCTGCACGTCGCGGACGTCATACGGGACGCCACGCACAAGTAACTACACACATACTTTATACTCACAAGCTCGCGGACGCGCTCGCCAGCGCCACCGCCGCCACGCAGCACCTGCACGTCGCGGACGTCATACGGGACGCCACGCACAAGTAACTACACACATACTTTATACTCACAAGCTCGCGGACGCGCTCGCCAGCGCCACCGCCGCCACGCAGCACCTGCACGTCGCGGACGTCATACGGGACGCCACGCACAAGTAACTACACACATACTTTATACTCACAAGCTCGCGGACGCGCTCGCCAGCGCCACCGCCGCCACGCAGCACCTGCACGTCGCGGACGTCATACGGGACGCCACGCACAAGTAACTACACACATACTTTATACTCACAAGCTCGCGGACGCGCTCGCCAGCGCCACCGCCGCCACGCAGCACCTGCACGTCGCGGACGTCATACGGGACGCCACGCACAAGTAACTACACACATACTTTATACTCACAAGCTCGCGGACGCGCTCGCCAGCGCCACCGCCGCCACGCAGCACCTGCACGTCGCGGACGTCATACGGGACGCCACGCACAAGTAACTACACACATACTTTATACTCACAAGCTCGCGGACGCGCTCGCCAGCGCCACCGCCGCCACGCAGCACCTGCACGTCGCGGACGTCATACGGGACGCCACGCACAAGTAACTACACACATACTTTATACTCACAAGCTCGCGGACGCGCTCGCCAGCGCCACCGCCGCCACGCAGCACCTGCACGTCGCGGACGTCATACGGGACGCCACGCACAAGTAACTACACACATACTTTATACTCACAAGCTCGCGGACGCGCTCGCCAGCGCCACCGCCGCCACGCAGCACCTGCACGTCGCGGACGTCATACGGGACGCCACGCACAAGTAACTACACACATACTTTATACTCACAAGCTCGCGGACGCGCTCGCCAGCGCCACCGCCGCCACGCAGCACCTGCACGTCGCGGACGTCATACGGGACGCCACGCACAAGTAACTACACACATACTTTATACTCACAAGCTCGCGGACGCGCTCGCCAGCGCCACCGCCGCCACGCAGCACCTGCACGTCGCGGACGTCATACGGGACGCCACGCACAAGTAACTACACACATACTTTATACTCACAAGCTCGCGGACGCGCTCGCCAGCGCCACCGCCGCCACGCAGCACCTGCACGTCGCGGACGTCATACGGGACGCCACGCACAAGTAACTACACACATACTTTATACTCACAAGCTCGCGGACGCGCTCGCCAGCGCCACCGCCGCCACGCAGCACCTGCACGTCGCGGACGTCATACGGGACGCCACGCACAAGTAACTACACACATACTTTATACTCACAAGCTCGCGGACGCGCTCGCCAGCGCCACCGCCGCCACGCAGCACCTGCACGTCGCGGACGTCATACGGGACGCCACGCACAAGTAACTACACACATACTTTATACTCACAAGCTCGCGGACGCGCTCGCCAGCGCCACCGCCGCCACGCAGCACCTGCACGTCGCGGACGTCATACGGGACGCCACGCACAAGTAACTACACACATACTTTATACTCACAAGCTCGCGGACGCGCTCGCCAGCGCCACCGCCGCCACGCAGCACCTGCACGTCGCGGACGTCATACGGGACGCCACGCACAAGTAACTACACACATACTTTATACTCACAAGCTCGCGGACGCGCTCGCCAGCGCCACCGCCGCCACGCAGCACCTGCACGTCGCGGACGTCATACGGGACGCCACGCACAAGTAACTACACACATACTTTATACTCACAAGCTCGCGGACGCGCTCGCCAGCGCCACCGCCGCCACGCAGCACCTGCACGTCGCGGACGTCATACGGGACGCCACGCACAAGTAACTACACACATACTTTATACTCACAAGCTCGCGGACGCGCTCGCCAGCGCCACCGCCGCCACGCAGCACCTGCACGTCGCGGACGTCATACGGGACGCCACGCACAAGTAACTACACACATACTTTATACTCACAAGCTCGCGGACGCGCTCGCCAGCGCCACCGCCGCCACGCAGCACCTGCACGTCGCGGACGTCATACGGGACGCCACGCACAAGTAACTACACACATACTTTATACTCACAAGCTCGCGGACGCGCTCGCCAGCGCCACCGCCGCCACGCAGCACCTGCACGTCGCGGACGTCATACGGGACGCCACGCACAAGTAACTACACACATACTTTATACTCACAAGCTCGCGGACGCGCTCGCCAGCGCCACCGCCGCCACGCAGCACCTGCACGTCGCGGACGTCATACGGGACGCCACGCACAAGTAACTACACACATACTTTATACTCACAAGCTCGCGGACGCGCTCGCCAGCGCCACCGCCGCCACGCAGCACCTGCACGTCGCGGACGTCATACGGGACGCCACGCACAAGTAACTACACACATACTTTATACTCACAAGCTCGCGGACGCGCTCGCCAGCGCCACCGCCGCCACGCAGCACCTGCACGTCGCGGACGTCATACGGGACGCCACGCACAAGTAACTACACACATACTTTATACTCACAAGCTCCATTTGTTCAATTGGGTAATTGCCAACTAGTCAAATTGAATACTTTTTTCGAGCTTGCAAAAACGAGTTTTCTATGAATTTTGTACGAGATTGTGCATTGTGTGACGTCACCTTTTTTAGCGATAAACAGCATACGTATTTCTTAAAAAATGCTGAAAAAATACTAAATCAATTAATAAAAGAGTGATTATTTTTTATTGTATTGATTAAGGAAAGCACCCAATTATTTATCTTCATATCCATAGTGGCAAGCTTCATTTGTAAAAATTATATCCTTAGACGCCGATAAATCGATTGATAGGTCTTTTAAAAATCTCAGTTCTATTCTGAGACTTGTCTTAAGCCTTTGATCAGGTTGTCTGTTGTCGTATTGCTTAAAAATATCACTATTATGAACTTCTTGACACTTGTTTGATGATTCTTACATCATATTTTGTTGATAAATTATAATATAAAAAATGTTAACATTTACACAGCACAGTGTATCAGATCTCTAATCACAATAGGAGTTCCCCAGCGTTCAATTTTAGGTTCTTTTATTTGTTGTGAATTCAAACTAATGTTGTAACAGAACTGGTCCATAAGCACTGTTGATTTAATACTACTTCGTTCCCCAGTGTGCTGGAGAAGGAGCTATGCTGGTGGAGGGAGCAGGCCCGTGGCGTAGCCCTGGCCTCGCGGGCGCACTCCCCGTCCACGCCGCATTCACACCACGCACACGATCGCCAGGTACCGTATTACTTATATTTATGACTTAACAAACTTCTTTCCTTTTTACTTTTACCTAAACGCGTTTGTGTTGTAACTACCGTGAGAAATAAATAAAAAAGAATTGTATGGAATACTCATATATTTCGGAAGACGCTCGATTAGTTTAGAGTCAAATGAGAGTACTTAATCGTGCTTATCTTAACATGCACGTAACTTAAATTTAAATCCCTACTCTTTTAAGTCCGAAAGCAAATATTATTGCATATTATATTTTACCACATCGCACCTCGTCATTAATATTTTATTAGGACTTGTCCTGGTACAATAAACACAGTATCTTGATCATTCTTGCAGAGACCACATCGTAATGTGACAAGAAATTGCGTTCAGGAATCTTTGCCTTTCCTTCTACAAGTATTATAAATTCCTTACTGTTCATAGTTTGCGCATTCTGTTATATCATTTTCATTACTTTTATCATAACATTATCTATTTCATTGTTTGTGTAATTTTAATATTGGCTTAATGTATTTTGTTCTCATGTAATAAGTATACCTTTTTATTTGTGTGTTATTTTGTATCATTATATAACTTTAGTAGCATATATTAAGAGTATGTACCAAGTTCATATGGCTTACTTATATCTCGAGGATATCCGATTAATTTCGAACCCAAATTAAGGCCACAAATATGAGCTCTGACTGCGCCCGAAATTAATCGAACATAACGAGAGTTAGCCTTATGAACTAAATCATTACAATAACAAACTTAACACAACATAACCAAAATTTAATTTCCACACAGATGCAAGTAGCACAGATCCAGTCTTTGATTGCTAGTGGCGACGTGAACGGTGCCTTCCAACAAGCTCTGTCGGCGTCCGACCTCGCTCTAGTAGTGATGGCGTGTCGCGCGGCCGAGCCTGCCCAGGTGTTTGGGCCCCCGTGCAAGCTGAAACAGCACGTGCTACTGTCGCTCGTACAGCAACTCGCTGCTGACATGGCGCGAGATACGCCGCTTAAACACAGGTGAGTTAGGAAACTAGGACGCCTTATAAAGAAGAAGATCCCCTAATCTTCTTTTCAGCTCTTACCACATAAATATTCAAATCTCTTTGTGATTTTTTGGTTCTCACTTGTTAGACGCACGTACTATCTTAACCCTGTTGTTGTTTTTTTTTCTTTATTTTTTTTAACTTTGCCCCACCTTAGAGTTTTCTCCTGTGTCGTGGGTACGTTTACAAACATACAAGTTCACCTAAACATGACGCCCAGACAAGGAACAACAATCTGTGGATCACACAAAGAATTGTTCCGTGCGGGAATCGAACCCGCGACACGTTGCGCGGCAGCCAATTGCCCAGCCACCGTGCCAACCGTGCAGTCAACTTGAACCATTCAAAGCATAAAGTTGAATCCTACCCAAAAATGTAGCAAGAAATATGTATCTAATGCTTCCACCATTCCCCCCAACAGGTACCTAGAGGAAGCAGTGATGAACCTGGACACGTCGAACCCAGTGACCCGCGAGCACCTGCCGGCGGTGGTCCGCGAGCTGCAGAAGCAGTTGATGTCGTTCCTGGCGGGCGCGCCCAACCACGCGCTGGCGCGCCAGCTGCGCATGCTGCTCATGGCCACCGAGGCGCTCGTCAAGGCCAGCGCCTGACCCGTCTGCCACTGCCGCAGGCCCGCGCGACGGTAGGCTCCGGCCAGCGATCTACTGGCGCCCTCACTCAATAATGCACTCTGAAATACGATACATACATTACGGACTCTAAAATATCTTATACACGACACCACTAAGGTCTGATGTCCACGACCCGTCATTTGACAAATATATGTAGCCTACAAGTGATATTAAGCGGATTTGTATGAGGAATAACGAAACGTTGCCGGTCTGTTGAAACAGTTTTGAATTCTTTTACGCAAGATGCAAGCATTCACACGACGATTGTATCTTCAATTGATGAAAGCGTGCGCATGACTAGCGGTTCACGTGGACAGTAGGCCTAAGTCGGTAATACGGTGTCAAAAAATATTGATATATTTTTAAAAGCAATATTATAGAACAACACTCGAGTCAAGGGCTCTTCTGAAGTATTAGTTAAAAAGGGATGCAAATATAAATAGATATGTGCGTCCCTTTCCAACTATGCTTGAACAGAGATCTATACTTGTATATCAATATATGAGCCTAAAAATTTGTTCTAAAAACTGATTCCGTAAGTAATTGTCTATTGTTAAGTTTAATTTCACTGTGCATTAACTATATCATTATGTTTCTCTTCTAAGCGAGTTTTAAGTGATTATTTCTAAATACAATATTTAAGACTAAAATGTTGTCTGCACAGCATTTTGTCACGTATTGATTGTACTTACATGTTAATTGTACAATACTAATGTTTAAGAATTACTTAAAACTCGTGTCTTATTTAACTTCACTTCATGTAAGGTAAACACAATGTAATAGAAACATGATATCAGAATTTAATTTTGACTCGTCGAGTACTGGTTTTATAGACACAATTAAAGAACAATAGGTCGCGGTCACCGGTGACCGCTTGGTGTTTGACAGATTAAATTAACATCTAACCACAGTTCTTAGAATCAAGTTTCCGGTTACTTAATCTAGTCCTTCGTAAACGACAAAATCGTTTCTCAGGTATAGTTTAAGTAATCATTAAATTTCCTCTGGGTACTGCAATAAGTTACTAATTATCACCAACTTACACCAACATTAACTTGTACACAATTACCTGATATAAATCCCCAAAATTTGTTCATACAAAAGTAGTCTCTAAACATCAGAAATATGGTCTATAATGGAGTTAGTGGAGTTTAACTATCTTTGTGTTAAAATATCTTTATTATTTCATAGCAAAAATATAACATTTTACTACATTATTCACTTTTATATACATAAATTCTATAAGTTATTGACAAAACACCACAGTAATTGCAAATCAAATTATGTTCTTATTACATTGTGATATCGAAATTAAACACGTAACGGTTTACTAAATGACATTATTAAAGAAAACCATACATCTTTGGTAGACTATCCAAAATAACTATAATCTTGATAAAAAATGCGATTGAATAGTCATTTTATTGTAACCGATTTTAAAATAAGTGAAGGTTTTATAAGCTACATGAGATGAACCAGTAGATCGATGGTGTCGGCCCATAGACAGCTATATTGTGATATTATAAGGACTATGTGTTTAAAAGTTCCACAGGGAGTACTCGGGCTCCTTACGTTCTTTTTTATATTTGACAATTTTGTATAACGTGATTTTTTATGTTCTGGAGCGTAATCTCCGGCTGATATTAGTGATTGACGATGATGCTGAGAATTCTGTTCTTAGACATATAAGTTAGTTTAGTTACCCGGTTTCTGTGTAAAATGGTTATTTAAATTGAGAAATGATGTTCGTGACTATGTGTTCAGTAAGATTAAAGTGTTTGGCTGACAGTAAAATTTGCCCGGGAATTGTTTAAAAATATAATCGTAACATAACTTGTGAATAGTGGTTGTTTACCACATTTGCTCCATCTACCTTTTTGTTATGTTATTGTATTAAAAACCTGCACAATTTCAGGTTATACTGAGTTTAATAACCTATGCATTCAACTGCATATGATGCGATAAACATATGCGTCGACATAGTCACACTGCCATACGTGTTAAATGTTAATGACTTAGCCTCACTCACACCCTCTTCACAATAATTAACCATTTTACACAAGAACACTTTAAATGCCAATCATACTTACAATTAGTGTGTAACTGGTAAAAGCTATAATGTAGAAATTATTCGCGCTATTCAAAGAGCTGTTTGAATCAAAGACTGCTGTCATTTCATATAAGTCGTAGAAGCTCTTAATAGGTTCATTTCACCACCTAAATTCTTAAGAAACCAATGAACGTACATGTTAAGACAGATTTTCTATCAAAGCTTGATTATTTCAGGTCATCAATAATCAGGCGGGTCTTCAGTTATGTTAACTATTTTGTATTGAAGTCGAATTAAAAAAAAACATCTATAAATTATCTATGGTATCTAGTTGTAGGTGGTGAAATGCCTTAAAAGCAGTGCGGTGCTAGTCCCTATTTTATTGACTTGACTGAATGTAAGAAGAAAACAATAGGATAGTAACTTAATTACGTTCATACCCAGGTGAAGAGAAAAAGCGTTTACAAATTAGACATTGATATCGACCCATTCTTAGTATCAGTGCTAAATATTTTGTGCCACCTTGTAAATAGTGTAGTAGTCGTTATACATACTTATACGATATGCTCGTTCTCTTACAAAATCTAAGTACTAAGCCGCTAATGCATCTGTAACTCCTCCGGTGGTGCGGGTGTCAATCACTTACCATCAGACGATTCGTCTGCTCGTATGCCTCCTTTGTCTCCTTGCCTTCTTATCATACTAACAGATTGTAAGCGTGTGGAAAACAGAGTGGGTGCGCAACAGATACGCTATGAATACACCACGAACACGCCTCGGCTGCGGCTAGAATTTGTAGCGAATGTGTGGCAAATGCATTGTCTTGCGCGTACTTACCCCCTCCCCCCATTCACCAATTTTCCCAATCCCTGAATCCCCGCCCACTCCTCAAATCCCTGATCTCTTAAAGGTACGGTGGCACGCATGCAGCGACGTATTCGTTACGCACCCGTTCCGCTTTGAAGACGCTCGCTAACTGCTAGTATGATAAGGGCTTAAAAAGTGCTATTTTCTATTTTCAACCACATGTGACAAGTTTTGAGCTGAAAATCAATTAACAATTGAGCGGAGTATATCGACTAAGTCTGATTTCAATAATAGTCCAGAAAAGGTGTCAACAAACCATACAATTACTTTATAACAATAATAGTTTATTGAATCAGAAAAAAAGTTAACACAATTTTCTTTATACATACAGGCTATAAAATACTATAACACATTTTTAAATATGTTGACGCCTCCTTTTTGACCAAAACTTTTTTTATTGTATTTCCCATGGACCTATCGATAATTTGTCTAAACGTATTATTTAGCGATAAATGACCTTACCGAGGCACACATAAGAATAATACACTATATCGTTACTATAGAACGCTTTATTAAACATATATGATATATCAAATACAATTATTATAAAAAAAAATATTTGGAATGAAAAATATTAAAAAACTCGCATGTTACAAAAATTTTAGTTTTGCAGATTATATTTTTAATGACGAGTTAAATATTAAGAGATATTAATAAAAAGTAAAGAAAGTAATTAGATAAAAATTTAACGTAACGCTCTTAGCTAGATTTAGAGAGAAAATTAAATTAACTTTTTTATGGAATAAATTGTAAAACACGTTTATACCTCCCGCCTTTTTGGCTCGGCTAGCGAGAATGTAAGCGGCGGGTAGACAATTATTGTGATACTCCTAGTTTATGCTGTTGGCAATGTAAAAGCTAAGCTACTTCAGTCAAGCATGATGATCTTCATAAATGTTAAAAAATTCGACAAAAAGTAACCAGCTAGGCAATTCTGTCAGGAGTCAATTCGAACTCTCGAATTGAAATCGATCGCATTCTCGCCTGTCGCAGACCGCAATCGAGCTCACTTTGAAAATTCGAATTGACATCTTACAGAATAGCCTAACTTTTTCCCGTAAAACCCAAGTTGTGGTCTGCAACAGTCATTTAGATTACAAATGTCAAATTGACGTGAACTCGTAAACGTCAAAATTTCCCGCCATTTCCCAATATTTATAATCTGTAAAACTAAATCATGACCGGAAAATAATTACGAAAATGTTAAGTAGTACGAGTAATGTGTTTTTAATGATTGTCATGTAAGACTGTCGCAATTTAATGATGATTGCCTATGATTATAATTACTCAGTAATATTATACGTGTACAAATACGGGAACCTCATTATAGATTAATTAAGTAGTAAGCACTTAGGCTATGAATAAGTACTGAGTTAGCCGGTAGACATTTGGTTTCATTATGTGTATGATAAACGGAAAAAGGAGATAAATTCGCCTTAAATAATATGAAAGTCGCCTCTAAACATTATTAACACGACATGTAATTTAAACAATCGAGACATCTCATTTATATATTAGTAGGCTCTCGCTAGACTGGCACTGACTGGGACTTCTAGCCCCTGAAAATCGTTGATAAGTTAGAGGTATTGAAATGGAGTTTTCAAATCACCTGCCTCTCTTTTACCATTTGGTCCACTAAATGTAAGCCTGGAGTCTAATTGTAAGTTTCCATGCTTCCAAAATGGCCTCACAGAAAACTGGCGTGAGACAACGCTGTCGTTGTTTTTCGTCGAGTGCGTGAGGTTACCCGATTCCCAATTCCCCCTTCCTTCTACAACCCCATCCCCAATCCTTAAATCCCCAATTTCCCAATCCCCAGACTTCATTTAGAGGACCAGGTTTTTCATCCACTACCAAGAATTAAAGGCGTTATATGAAACCTTATGTCAATAATGTTGCTATAGATTTGGATTTTAGGGCATTGAAACTGCTTTAACGAGTTTTAATAGCCCTGGGAATAAATAGCCGGCATATTCGGTGATATCTCCCTCGATTGGTACTGGACTGTAGAATAACTAAGATATTATACTTAAACATATGCTAGTCTAGTTTTATATGAGTGAAATGAAAAGTGTACGAAGATTTTCTATACGACTGTAATGTGTATGTATGAACAAATATATGTTTGTGACTCATACATGATCTTGCATCTAAATCTATAGCACCCCGGCGACCAAAGCCTTACTACCGCTTATTGTTAAAGCTATTTAATTTTCATAGTGTATGGTAGACTTGTGTATGTATGGACTCGTCACATTCCCGACTATTCAAGTGACACTCAAAACGTATAAAGGCAAATAAAACTGAGTGTCGTTTGAGTATTTGGGAGTTTATTTCTCATGAAATGTTGAACGTTTTATGAGAAGTTGCGCGTTTTTACATCTTTATAATGTTTATGTCATATCTTATTTGTGTATATTACTAAACGGCTTATGAGCTGTTTGTACCCGACTGCAGGAAGGGTATTGTTGCTGAAATATGTTCAGACTCCTCGCTATATAGAAGGATATCGCATTGATGATTAATTCGTGTGTAAATATTTAGTTGATAGTTTCTAAACTTTTCTGTACTTGATTATTGTGATTGCACGACAAAAATTTCACTTAATTGCGATCTAAACTAATTAGAGTAGTAAGACTCGTAACCGAACTCGGTTAATCGACATTTAATTATAAACTTTATTACTTATGACATTATTATTTCAGTTTCTTGATTTCAATTTATATGACATGTACCCTTGACTATATTATTGGTGTTTATGTATCGGAAATTCGTAAATACGTGAGTGATGAGTCCCGTGTTGTTGTTTTTTATATAAAATTATTTTTGTCGGCGCTTTATGTACCTCTGACATTGATAGTATTACTCTAAGAAATACATTATATCAATAAATGTGTATTTGATTTGTATTATTTACCTGGTTTTATTCCTGTATTTATCCTGTCCTTGGTCTAAAATTATGTGCAAAAGGAAAACTATCTAAATGCTATGACATCTAACACTTATCGAACCTAATTGTGCAATAGTGGTTCATAAAACCTACTTATTAGGAAAATTTAAAATCATACTTGTAGCATTTATTTGCGTTTCTTTCCTTTGAGAACCGTGGTTCATTTCTCTTTCCATAGTTTTCTTGACTGTCTCATAAAATCCAGTTTTTTATAATGCTTAAAGAAAAGGTACCTAATCGTTAAAAAATAAGTCTGAAATACTCCAAACAAGCCACGGCTGTTTATCATGTAAATAAGTTACGATTCAACTAAAGCCAAACGAAACCACAATCAAAACATTCACCAAAATAAAGAAATGATGGTGTACAGAAACAAAGTTCATGCAACAAAAATCAACATACCCCCTGATCAACTATCAAATCTCATTACACACACAAAAAATATATTGTGCCGTCTAGTGCTATCATGGAACAAAACCAACTTCAAAATATTACCGACCGCCCTAAACGTCGAAGATGTCAGTCCCTAAACTCATTAACAAGTGAAGACAATGGCATAGACCTGATGATTTACAAGCCAGATACAATTCATCGCACATATAGTGACTCTTCAGTGGAACTGTGCATGCACTGCGATCATGGGCGACTGATGGACAGCGGTATATCAGACTCAGTGCGTTGTGATCATCATGAACGTCTTATTGACACTGGTATATCTGATCGCATGATCAATAATGACATGCTAGTTGTGATGGAGCAGAAGATTGATCGGTTGAGTGGTGAGTTTTAATTTGTTATTAGTTCATGATATACTTGACTACTACTACTACTACTAGGTAGGTACTAAACTTTCAATTTAATGTTTTTTTTTTGTGGTTTCACCCAATGAAAATGTGTATCTATAAATTTAATAGATTCATGATGATAGTTTACTTACTTACTGTTCTCATTATTCATTATTTAAGTCTATTAATTATATTTGCTAAGTTTTGACTAATTTAGCTTTTTTAATATTTCTGTGAATTTAAGTCTATGACCACGACTAAAGTTTATTTAGCTACTTGCTTCAAACTACATTTACTTCGTAGGTACAATACCCACATAGAAATAGGCACTTCTTTTTGTACCAGCATTTATTTCTATAGGGTCTAAAATTCTAAAATACCTCTATACGTAGAACCTAGTAAGTAGGTACTTAGTGTCTAAAGTCAAGTGATAAGAATGCTCTCAATCTGCCAGATATGTTCCTGGAACAATGCCGGCTGCTGACCGCAATAAAGGAGGAGATCCGCAGCTCCAAGCTGATGCTCGAGAAGACAGAACTCGCCCACAACCAAATATTTGTTGATATATTGAAGAAGGCTATCGCGCAGAGGTGTTTTGCTTAATAAGTATTTGAATAAATTATGATTACTATGTAGGCAAAGGCGTATTAAACCTAGAGTGCGTCCTAGGCAAGTATTTCATAGACGTCCCTAATTTTTTGGCGCCTCCGCCCGTCATGCCATATGGGCAGTTGGACACGTGCGTCTCACGGCGCTAATCGATTAAATTATTAATAATTATCTAATTATCGTTCTTTGCTGGATTTGGGTCACAAAAATAGGTTGGTAGGTACACACGGCCACACATCAATCTATACAAAACCAGTTTATCCTGGTGTCGCGCATCATCTTCCCGCACATTTAACGTTCAGTTTATACTGGTTATGTAAAGCTCGATGTTTAGCCGTGTGTACATACATATCTACGTAGGTATCTACCACAAGTAACAATGACTGCCTGGGTAGTCGAGTCCTACAATTGAGTGAGCTGAGGTCTCGGGTTCAAAATCCAATACCTATTTCAAGAAATTCGTATGACAATGGAGAATGAACAGTGAACTTTACATTTATTATGGCATCTGTCTATTAATACAAGAACAAATCTTCTATCTACCACTTACCTACTAACAGAGTTGGAGCGGTGAGTGTCGAGGAGTGCAGCAAAGATGATGATAGCACTGTGAACAGCCGCGCCAAGACATTGCTGGATGCCATCGAGGCCAGGAAGGAGATGTCGTTGGACAGCGAGATCAGAGCCAGCCTTATCAAATTCCTGCAGAGTGAGGTACCTACCTATAAAACACTAGTTACTTACTTAGCATAGCAATCATAGCTACAATGAACAAAGCTGGCCTCTTTTTTATTATTTTCTGGTGTAGTGGGTGTCCATAGGAGGCACTGACCGCTTAGGGACCTCCGATTTTACAAAAAAATATATCAAGAGCACTAGCCGTAGATAACTTAAGGTTTTTTAATTATTTTTCGAAATTCTTCATAACATAACATAACATCACGCTTTTTATCCCCGAAGGGGTAGGCAGAGGTGCACATTATGCCATTGTACAATGTAACACCCACTTTTCACTATTTATGTTATGAGTCTCATGTAATAGGGGTGAACCTATTGCCCTATACCGGGCACAATTCCAGACTCCGTGCTATTACTGAGAATTTTTAAAAAACCCCAATAATACTTTGCCCGACCCGGGAATCGAACCCGAGACCCCTTGCCCAGCAGTCGACCTTGCAACCACTCGGCCAACGAGGCAGTCTTTTCTTTCGAGCAGAAATTCTTCGTAATACAGATATGTCTGGACTCTGGACGGCACTGGAGTCAGGTAACTGGGTAGGTAATGTAGAACGCATTGCGATCTGGACGCGAACCTGGACGTTTAAGATCTTTTTATTACAGGAACTGAAAGAACAGATGGTGCGCGCTACCGCGGAGTCAGTCCGCGGCCTGATAGGAGGCTGCTTCAGCCGGGACATGTCCAAGCTGTACCTGCCCGTCCTCGAGAGGTCACACCGCAGACTTATCGCACATATTCATATGATTGTGGAACAGGCGTTTATTGAACGTGAGTTGACAGACAAGCCTTATCCGATGCATGAATGTTGATGAAGCGAAAGAGGTATGTGAGAATCACCGCAATTGGAGATAGGCCTTATTTCGTCCTGTTGCGATCTAACTATCAGTCGGTAGGCTAAGTTTAGCTAGGTTTAGAAAACAGTGATGTAATACAAAACATTTTGAATCGGGAATAGTTTCATAAGCTTTGTAATAATGGAAAACTATTGCTTTCATTGTCGTCATCACGTTGATCATAGGCCTGTGTGAGTCCACTGGAATATAGCCATCCTCTCATCATCATCATCAACAGCCTATAAATGCCCACTGCTGAGCAAAGCCTCTTCTCACACGGAGAAGGTTTGAGCATTAATCACCACGCGGGTAGCTCAATGCGGGTTGGCGATTTCAAACTTATAATTAGAAATTATAAGTAGGTTTCCCCACGATGTTATTCCTTCACCGTTTGTCAGTGGTGTCTAAATAATCTTAGAAAGTACATATAACTCGGAACAAGTCACATTGGTACTTGCCGTTGGTAGGTTTCGAACCTGCACCCTTATGCGTGAGAAGCGGGCGTCTTAAACCTCTGGGCCACCACGACACTTATCTACATAAGACATAAGACTTATGTACATAAGTAGATTTGCCCCTATCGCCACGCTTGGAAACTGTGATATTCCGTTGATTTAAATTTATTTTCAACAGGCGCCGGCGCCACCGTCCCTTATCACAAACGGTCTATCGCAGTTTATGCACTTGTAACCACACACGCAGTCGTTTTACGATATTGCAAAATGCTTTGGTTTTAATAACCGAGCGAGTCAGTTGCTCTTAGTAGAAACTTGAAAAATGAATGCTAGTTGCCATACAATCGAACCAAAAAAAATAAATATTCCAGATCCCATGATAATTAAATTCCTCGGCAGACGTGGCAGTACCTCATACCTTACGTATTTTTTTTTATAATTTCCCCGATTCAGTGGAGGACAGATCGTCATCGCTGTTCAAGTCGGTTTACAAAACGTCTGGAGCCCTGCGGCGCGCGCTGGAGCGCCACCAATGTCTGCTGGAGGCCACCTCCAACCCTGGACACAACATGATCAACACACTGCAGAGTACCGTTGAGGAGTATGTTACTTATTTTATTTATTTTTTTATATATGGCCACGAATATACATATACCTAGTCTTAAACTGTCAAACACCGCGAGGACACCGGTGACCGAAACCTATTGTTCTTTAATTCAACCGAGGGCTGGGCTCGCTGCCATTGCAGCGGTAAGACCCCACTTTGAGGAGTGGCTTGAGAGACGCTACGGCGTCCTCACCTACCGCCTGACGCAGGTCCTCACCGGACATGGAAGTTTCGGGAGGTACCTGTATCTGATGGGACGGGAGGAAACGCCCGGGTGTCATCACTGCGAGGACCGCCCTGAGGACACGGTGGAACACACTGTAGCGGAATGCCCTGCGTGGGCTGAGCACCGCCGTGCCCTCAGGGAAGTGATCGGCGATGGCGACCTCTCGCGTCCGGGCCTAGTGCAGGCCATGATGCGGAGCGAGGGGGACTGGGATGCCGTCTCCTCCTTTTGCGAAGCAGTTATGCTAGCTAAGGAGGAGGCGGGACGCGTGAGGCAGCGAAGCGCTGCCTCCTCGCAACCCAGCCATCGCGAAGGACACACCGGGCGTCGGGGATCGCGGGACGATCTCCGGCCACCGTAAGCGCGGGCCTGCGGACGGCGAGCATGGGTGACTCCCCGTCCGACCAGAAACAGACCCGAGCGTACGGCGCGTCGCGTTCCGCGCGCGCCTCAAAGAGCCATCAGACCACCACAGATGGGGCCCAATAGGGCCGATGCCGATTCGGAGTCGCAGAGAACCTAACAGGTAACCGGGGCTCCGGCTCGACGTGCAGGAGAAGGAACGGGGTGGTTTTTAGTCAGTAAGAGTCCGACACTCCCTTCCGCCTCACCCAGGCGGGAGCAGTCATTCGATGATTTTCCCCACTAAAAAAAAAAAATTGTTCTTTAATTGTGTCTATAATGACGGTACACAAAGGCTTAATGTTAAAATGGCATACTCCGTCGTTTGTTAGAGTCGAGAGATTTTAATATTATTGCTAGGTAGTCTTTTATGTAAAATCTATCCTCCTATATCTAATTGTATTATTAATTGCGGACCATAAAAAAATTATTCCACGCAGGAATCGATCGCGCGACATGTTGTGCAGTATAGTCGCAATCGCACCTCGATTTTAGTAACTAAAGGGTTGCTATCACAGAAATATTCTTTAATATATCTATGGTTGCTATGTTATAAAAATCAAGTTCAATTTCAACAGACTCCTGCAAAAAGAGTTAAAGGACTGGCGTGTAAAAGTGACAGACTTGTTGTCAAGCCATTTCCACTCGGAGACACTTGAGAGTAACGTGTCTGATGGACTTCCGGACTCCGTGGACTTCGAACCGATCACGCCACCACAACCGGCTGGCCGAGACGTCTCGGTCGTCGACCAGTTGGTAAGGACATGACAGAAAAATTACTATCTACTACAGTGGTGCTAGCTTAATTGACACATTTTAAATTTTTGAATAGATGGAAGCAGCGCTAGTTAATAAACTGATCGAAGATGGTGATGTGAACGGTTCGTTCGAGCGGGCGCTCTCTGCCGGCGACCTGTCACTGGTGATGGTGGCCTGTCGCGCCGTGGACCCTGGACAGGTATTCGCAGCACCCTGCAGTCTGAAGCAGCATGTCCTGATGTCATTAGTGCAGCAACTAGCCACTGATATGTTGCATGAAACTCAGCTCAAATGCAGGTAAGGATTATAAACCTAAATACATATCGACATGTAAATTTTACGGTGTTATGGTTACCTTGTTTACTTTGGTCGGACATGCGAATATGCGATCAGTTAAATAGAGAGAAGAATTAATAATGTACCTAATATTTTTACAGATTCTTAGAAGATGCAATAATTAACTTGGATATGGCCAACCAGGACACGCGAACACATCTGCCTCTCGTGGTCGGCGAGGTTCGAAATCACTTGTCGAAGTTTCTGGTCGCATACCCGAACCATATTGCTAGCAGAAGAATCACCATGATAGTGATGGCAGCTAATAATTTATTAAAATAAACGCAGGAGATGTGACGTAATGTTACATATTGATATTTTGTCAGCCATCCAGTTTGACTTTCTATGCCTCATTACCTTCTATAACTTCACTAAGTTATGAATTAAATAGTGATTGAAAAAACGGCTCTTAAACATATTAAAATATGAAACAAATCAAAGATACAAATTCAATAATTAACGTGGCATATAACAATTATTGGTGGTTTTGTAGATAATGTGTTTAAGTGAAATCATTAAATGATTCTTTTCTTTTTTTGAAATTGGTTAATGAGAACCTCCTTGTTTTCTTTTTGAAGTCACTTAAAAAGATTGCTTTTAAGTCACGATAATTAGGAAAATAACGTCAAACTGTAGAATGACTGACCTACCTATGCAACAATTTCGCTGTGTAACCCGCCTTTGCTATCCCTTTGGGGAGTAAAAGATGTGTTGTTATGTGGCTATATTTAATAATAGAAAAATTTATGGCTAAATGTGTTGCTAAACGCAAACCTCGAGAACAACTGAACCAATCTCGCTAACTATTTTTGTTTCGTTTCGTTATGGTTAGGAGAAAGTTCTTACGTAAGTAAAAATGAACAAAGATGCACTGAAAACTTTTCAAGGACAAACATAGTTCGCTGGTTACCTAGTTCATTATAAAATTAATTTTGCTAGTCTCTTTTATAAGGCGTAGGTAGGGCGAAAAACTAGTAGACATATCAGCCGTAACACAAGAGAATACAAGTGCGTTACCAGGTGATGATTGGGTTTAATTCAAAGAGTACCTATACTATAATAAGTATGTCGTTTTAACCCAACCTATTGCCATTGGGAACGGCTAACTATAAACTTCTAAACCTTTGAACATTGTATGACTTCCTCAAAGGTCTACCTACTTACGTTTGATTCTAGAAGAGTAAAATGTGAAGTTGTGATGAACTTAGGTACTTACCTACTTATATTCTTTGCACAATATTGTATTTTGAAAACAAAAATAAATATCTTTAAGATAAATTGCTCTTTTAATACCTAACGCACGCATACCTATATAAAGTTCAACTGCTCAATCTATCAGCAATGGATATCACGCAGTCACGCTGTTCACATTTCGAAACGTGACAAAACATCGGTATGTCGGATAATAAACACCCATGAAATCTGAGTATCCTCATGTATTAATTAATTCAATAGATCATGGATCTTTTCATTCGTCACCTCCCAAGGCCATCAGCATTCCCAGTCCCGATCCAAAACACTATCTGTACCCCGATTAGTTACTAATCAGTTGCCAACTATAAGTATAGACTTTAGTGACCAAATTACAATAATTAGAAAGGTGATTGTTTCTTTAACAGTTGTTCAATTAAAATACAAATTAATAACACAGTTATTGTAATTTACAGGCACAAGAACTTTAATGTTCATTTAAAAGTACTTTTTTAAAACTAATGTCCAATGGCAACACCGGCACAGTCAAAGTGTCATGTAATAATCAAAATTGTGATAATTCTTTGGCTCCGTCAATGTTATTTTTGAAAATAAACAATATAATATAATGAAATTTGAATAACAATAAAACTAAGATAAAATTGTAGCAGAGTGCATTAAAATGGCTTTAAAATACTTGTTGTGTGTTCTTTTGACTTACAACATGTCGTTGTATTGTGGCTCCGCGGCGGTGCACGGGCACAGCATCGACAATCTGGAGCGGGAGACGGACGGGAGCTTCCGAGCGAGGGATTACGAGCACTACGGCGACTCCGGACACAACTCAGAGTTCGACCACGAGGCCATTCTAGGTAGCATTACTTATTTTACTATTTTTTTTATGACGTCGACCGGCCGCTGGCTCGCTAGATTTTGCAACAGCTTGCTCAGTTGATAAGAAATGCGATAGCGGTCGGTGCGTGCCGAGATGTCGGTTAGGAACACTTTGTTTATTTTGGTGCCACTAGCTATGGCTATAACGTACTACTACTCTAAAGGTAGCGTTCGGGAGGCCGAGGAGTTCGACAAGCTGAGCCCCGATGAGTCGAAGCGACGGCTCGGGCTACTGCTGCCCAAAATGGACTTAAATGGAGACGAGCACATAGACCGGCTGGAACTTAAAAAGTGGATCTTGAAATCATTCATGTAAGTTGTTTTGTTTTCTTTTCCTAATCATTAAACTTGTACTCTTATTAGGTTATAACCTGTTTTGTTGAACCTGAATGAATAAAATAAATAAAACGATCTTTAATTTGTTACCTTATGGAATCCCACATGCCGAACACTGCATGATGTCAATGAAAAAACCAAAACACACCCGGTCACATTACCAAATATTAATTCTATTTTAAAATATTATGAACAATTATTTTTAATTAATTGACATTTTATAAGAGTATACCATATTAAGATCTTTAATCAAAGTGTAATAAAAGGACAATAAAAACTTTGTTAATTGGTAATTTCTGGTTTGGTTGACTATGTATTATGGTTCATAAACATTCTAATTGTTAAGCCTACCTTATTGATGTAAATTGGAACAGATATTTCCCAATACATGTTCCATAAAAATTTAAACTAATTTCAAATTTATGTCATTGAAACAGTTGGCAGTTTGATCAGCTGAAAGTACAACTGTATATTCAGCTGATCAAACTGCCGACATAACTACGTGGGCAAATGTTTTTGTAACCCATTCAGTAAGTTGCTAACCAAATTATTTAAATTTAGAACAGAATAATTATAATATTTAGTAGATTGTATTTTTTTTAATTCTCAGTAATAGCAATAATATGAAGTTTATTACACAGCAATAGGCTCATCTTTCTATTGAATTAAACTCGTTATAACTAGTGCAAAGTTGCAAATTCATTCAAAATGCACTTGCTTTCAAATTATAAATCACTAAGAAATATTTACCTATTTCATATTAATTGATTTAAAACTCAATTATTAACCAACTCTTAAATGTTATCCTAATACATTTACACTGCATTATAATGACCAAATCAATAACCATTTTATATTGAAATATTGTGTAATAAAGACTAAAAGAATAAAAAAATTATACCGTTTATTTGATGATTAGCAGATCAACTCTTGTATTATTTGAAGCATAAGCATAGTTAGAATCTGTTATCGAGACAAAACAGGCATACCGTTTGATCCAATTTATTACTGGGCTAACAGATTCGGACTCCTTATATTAAAATCAAGATAAACTTTGAATGATCAATCACCTATAGGTCTGTAGAGTAAGTAAACATGTGATAAATTAAATATTCATACTAATATTATAAACTAACTGAGACCCCGACTTTGTCCATGTGGAATAGCAATTCACAGCACCTCCCCCGAAGGTGATAGGAGTATGAACCCTAGATGTTGACCCAACCTGTTACTGTTACTCATGCAAAATTTTAAGTAAATTCATGCAGTAATTTTTGAGTTTATCCCAGACATTTCTAAAATCCATATATTTGGCTTCCGTATCGAATGTATTCTTTTAAAAAAATATTCAATGTATAATTTCTCTTTCGTACGAGTTTTATATGTATAGATATATATAGACGGGAAAGTGTTTGTGTCTGCTCGTTTGTCTATCTTTCGTGAACAAAATGTTGCTTGGTACATAATTTATATTTAGGATATTAGGTAGGAAGGTTTAGTCATGTGGGCAAAGCTGCTGGTAAAGGTACAAATATTGTATTTCTGTATACCTATTAGTGAATGTTTCAATTATAATTTAGTACTTAATTTGTCCATTGAAGTATGTACATAATTTAATTATGTATGCCAGTTGTACATTGGTCGATAAAGCTAAAGTTCTAAATAAAATTGAGATTCAGTTGGTGTAACCTTGAATTACTAATAATGCAATTCATAGGTTTCAATTTATTTCACAAATGTTTTAAACTCAGGTTTAAGTTATGCTTATTACTTTTTTCACGCATTATTGGTGCTATTGGCAGTGTGGACTTGTAAAGTTATTACAACACTGAGTGTTATACAGCCAAAGAAAATAATTCGCTTATTTGTATTGTAACTATTATTATTATATTATACTGTCTTCTGCCCGCGACCTCGTAAGCGTAATCCCGTTTTTCCCGTTCTCTTAGGATTTCCGGGATGTCCGCCTCCTGATTCTAAGCTAATTTTCACTCATTTTTAGTCAAATCGATTTTATAAAAAGTGTACTCACATGACGAAACATAACGCAAGCGTTGATTCACGTCACTTTTCTGCTCGGCCGTGGTAACACTCCGGTCGAGCCGGCCCATTCGTACCGAAGCATGGCTATCACATACGTAATTGCTGCTGCACTTGATAGGTAAGTACAAATGAAGTTGGTTAGAATATCAAACTTTTTCTTTCTCTATGATCAGCAATTTATCGCGGGAAGAGGCTCAAGAGCGATTACTGGAAGCTGACGAGGACCATGACGGTGCAGTGACGTGGAACGAGTACTTACATGATGCCTTCGGAGTGGAGTCTGAGGAATTATAAATCACTAAGAAATATTTACCTATTTCATATTAATTGATTTAAAACTCAATTATTAACCAACTCTTAAATGTTATCCTAATACATTTACACTGCATTATAATGACCAAATCAATAACCATTTTATATTGAAATATTGTGTAATAAAGACTAAAAGAATAAAAAAATTATACCGTTTATTTGATGATTAGCAGATCAACTCTTGTATTATTTGAAGCATAAGCATAGTTAGAATCTGTTATCGAGACAAAACAGGCATACCGTTTGATCCAATTTATTACTGGGCTAACAGATTCGGACTCCTTATATTAAAATCAAGATAAACTTTGAATGATCAATCACCTATAGGTCTGTAGAGTAAGTAAACATGTGATAAATTAAATATTCATACTAATATTATAAACTAACTGAGACCCCGACTTTGTCCATGTGGAATAGCAATTCACAGCACCTCCCCCGAAGGTGATAGGAGTATGAACCCTAGATGTTGACCCAACCTGTTACTGTTACTCATGCAAAATTTTAAGTAAATTCATGCAGTAATTTTTGAGTTTATCCCAGACATTTCTAAAATCCATATATTTGGCTTCCGTATCGAATGTATTCTTTTAAAAAAATATTCAATGTACAATTTCTCTTTCGTACGAGTTTTATATGTATAGATTTACCTAGACGGGAAAGTGTTTGTGTCTGCTCGTTTGTCTATCTTTCATGAACGAAATGTTGCTTGGTACATAATTTGTATTTAGGATATTAGGTAGGAAGGTTTAGTCATATGGGCAAAGCTGCTGGTAAAGGTACAAATATTGTATTTCTGTATACCTATTAGTGAATGTTTCAATTATAATTTAGTACTTAATTTGTCCATTGAAATATGTACATAATTTAATTATGTATGCCAGTTGTACATTGGTCGATAAAGCTAAAGTTCTAAATAAAATTGAGATTCAGTTGGTGTAACCTTGAATTACTAATAATTCAATTCATATAGGTTTCAATTTATTTCACAAATGTTTTAAACTCAGGTTTAAGTTATTCTTATTACTTTTTTCACGCATTATTGGTGTTATTGGCAGTGTGGACTTGTAAAGTTATTACAACACTGAGTGTTATACAGCCAAAGAAAATAATTCGCTTATTTGTATTGTAACTATTATTATTATATTATACTGTCTTCTGCCCGCGACCTCGTAAGCGTAATCCCGTTTTTCCCGTTCTCTTAGGATTTCCGGGATGTCCGCCTCCTGATTCTAAGCTAATTTTCACTCATTTTTAGTCAAATCGATTTTATAAAAAGTGTACTCACATGACGAAACATAACGCAAGCGTTGATTCACGTCACTTTTCTGCTCGGCCGTGGTAACACTCCGGTCGAGCCGGCCCATTCGTACCGAAGCATGGCTATCACATACGTAATTGCTGCTGCACTTGATAGGTAAGTACAAATGAAGTTGGTTAGAATATCAAACTTTTTCTTTCTCTATGATCAGCAATTTATCGCGGGAAGAGGCTCAAGAGCGATTACTGGAAGCTGACGAGGACCATGACGGTGCAGTGACGTGGAACGAGTACTTACATGATGCCTTCGGAGTGGAGTCTGAGGATGAAGTGGGCCCTGAGGACACGGGTGATTCTGGACTGGTATGTACTACTTAGATATAAAATATCTCTATGCAAAATTGATAATAATATTATTTTTCCTAATAAAAGTGGGACTTGGTACCCAGAATAAAAGCCTACTTTAGACCTCTTAAGTTGTTCCCATGTAAAGAAGCTACTGCTACTAAACTAAGACTAAAAATTGAAAGCCTATTTATTATAAATAAACTGATAAACCTGATAAATAAAATTTGTCGATCTATCAATCAAATACAAAACCATTTGCTGTGTACTGTCAACAAGATACTGAGAATATAGATACAAGATACTAAGAAGACTGCCTCGTTGGCCGAGTGGTCGCAAGTGCGACTGCCGGGCAAGGGGTCCGGGTTCGATTCCCGGGTCGGGCAAAGTATTACTGGGTTTAAAAAAAATCTCAGTAGTAGCACGGAGTCTGGAAATGTGCCCGGTATATGGCAATAGGCTCACCCCCTATTACATGGGACTCATAAAATAAATAGTGAAAAGTGGGTCTTACTTCTGTGTGCACCTCTGCCTACCCCTTCGGGGATAAAAGGCGTGATGTTATGTTATGTCAACAAGATATGGTAAAATATTGATAACTGAGATTATAGGTATTGCTGGAGCAGGAACTTTGATTTAATAGTTTTAGTATGTAACTGATGTTATTTTGTTTGGTTTCAGATATTGCGAGAGGAGAAAGCGATGTGGGCTGCGGCGGATGCCAACAACGACGGCAAGCTGGAGCTGAACGAGTTCCAAGTGAGTACTCCTAATCACACATCATTTGATTATCCTTCTTTATAAAAGGATCAAAAATATGTCCGTGCACCGTTAAATTTCCTTCTCTAACATCATGTTTTTCTCACCAAGGTGTTCACAAACCCGGAGGAGCACAAGGAGATGCACCAGTTCCTCATCAACCAGACCCTCAGAGAGAAGGATCTCAACAAGGATGGCAGTATAGACTTCAACGAGTACATTGGCGAGAGAGGTATGTGAATACAGGAAATAATAAGTTATACTTTTTCTGATTGACGAACGCCCGAATATTGAAACGCTATTCAATTATTAGTTGTAGGTATTTAAATATCGTGGCATCTCTGTCATTTTACAAAGAATTTGTAGTGACAGAACTATACTTAAGCGTGACTTAAAGTTGAGTGGCGTTTGAGTATTTCGACATAATTTATTTATCTGCCTCTCTGCGGTCACACCGCATGGGGTCTTAAGTTCAATTAGTATTTAAACGAGTTTTTTTTATAATTTTTGTTTTTTTTTTTAAATAACGTTGCCCCACACTAGGATTGTCTCCTGTGTCGTGGGTGCATTTACAAACATACAAATTCACATACACATGACACCCAGACCCGAAACAACAATTTGTGGATCACACAAAGTGTTGTTCCGTGCGGGAATCGAACCCGCGACACGTTGCACGGCAGCCGGTTGCCCAACCACCGCACCAACCGTGCAGTCAAATTGATTTCATTGTGACTGCTTTGTTTAAAAGTTGCGCAAAGCATTATTGAAATATTCCTATTTGAGAAAAGTTTCTACCTAATGAAACATTTGTACTATTTAAATTAAGCGACTTTAATTGTTTTTAATATCAGGATATTAAATTAATTATCGTCCATTAATTACGTAAACGTTGACTCCCCCATTATGTAATATTTGATAATCTCTGCACCATGTCAATAACACGTTATCTAAACCCGACAGTGGTCATTATGCACTGGACAGTATCAACTTACTCTGAAACACAAAATCAACCTTAACTAGATTCAAATAAAATTAAAATTATCTTGATAATGCATACATTTGTATTCAATTACGAATTCCGACTATAATCTGAATTAGATAAGGTTTATATTTGATTGCATACATGTTTTTTGTGTCGTGACGCCCACCTTTGAGGTCAAATGTCGTTATAATAGCAGTAATTAGAGGTATTTATTTATTACGATAAACACGTTAATTAGTTTTTCAAATAAATTCTTGACATGACTCCTTCATGCCTGGAAAAATATATAAAACGGGCCCTAGTACTGTTGTAACGATGCGTTGCGTTCCACGCTCGCCTCAAAAAGCCATCAGACCACCACGGATGGGGCCCCATAGGGCTGATGCCGATACGGAGCCGCAGAGGACTTAACGGGTTGCCGGGGCTCCGGCTCGAAGTGCATGATTAGGAACAGGGTGGTTTTTAGTGAGTAAGAGTCTGACACTCCCTATCGCCTCACCCAGGCGGGATGGTAACTGTACTCAAAAAAGTACTATTGTAAACAGTTATGATTGACTCCTTAGTTCATCGAGTGATCGGTGTTAGACTCCATTTCCGAATGAGATAAAGTATCAATGACATTTTTAGAAAATTTAAACAACTACAGAGACAATACAAAGTGTTACATAGTTCTCGCACAATCCAAACAGCAAAACTATGTAACTAGTAAATTGTATTGTGAACCTGATTGAAAAAGAGTAACCTGTGGAGTTTCTTGCTCGTTCTTCTCCATAGGAATCTACGCCTTGGAATGAGCAAATAGCTTATCTGTTTATTCTTAGCTCATTTTTTTTTTGTTGACGTTCAAAAGTGCCATTCTGGCCTAATTGAAATAAATTATTTTGACTTTGACTTTGAATATTTATTAAAGATTTACTCTAATGTTTTCTCAACAAACGATTAACTTATCTATCTTTACAAATAAACGTGCATACGCGTTGAAAACAAACAACTTCTTTTGTTCTTTTAAAAAACATAAACAAAGTAGTATTGTTCTTTGTTTGTACGCTTTAACCTCGTGAACAATGCGTTCAATAACGTTTCGCTAAATAACTTGCTGTGAGTCTATGAGCAAAAATACAATCGATTTATTAGTAGATCGCGTGTGTACCCGGCTGTTGAGGAAGAGATCTCGGGTTCGACTTCGGGGACGCACAAAGTAATAATGTCAATCTGTCTATAGTTGTGGCCATTTTAGCTTAAAATTCCTTCTCCAGCAAAAAAGATTTATTTATTTTTAAACAGTCAAAACAACGGTAGAAAATGCAATTACAGTAACTGACAGTAAGATGATATGAGCGCTGATTGCAACAAATATACCTATAATTATTATTATTACCTCATTGTGATTATCTTTTTATTTTTTAATTAAGAGCTTGTAACAAATAGACATATATATTGTATACACATAGGTATTTAAAAATTCCATACACAAATAAAATTCCATAATTATGTTGTAGCTAAATCTACGAACAGATTGTTTATTATGCCTCGTCGTTAATGAATTAATTAATCAGTGGCATATTAATTGTGCATGCTACTTGATACACTGACATAAATTCGAATGATTCTCTCAATGAAATAGTCTCGCCAGTTGACACCGTTTTGATATACACAAACTAATTGTTAATTGTTCCGATTTAGAACTAAGATCACACACGATGGGACTTACTCACAAAACTGTTTAATGAAGTTACTTGAGCTTGACTACATTCAATCCACGATCCGGGTCCATAATTCGAAATAAGGACTTTTAACAATTTATTAAGTGTTTTGGCACTTAACCCTTTGAGTACTATCATTATATGTAGACACAATTAAAGAACAATAGGTTGCGGTCACCGGTGTCCTCGTGGTGTTTGACAGTTTAAACTGTGTCTATAATGACGGTACTCAAAGGGTTAATCCATTAATACTTTCGCGCGATTTTACCCACTTTAATCGGCTCTTGTTGAGGTGTCGAGGTGGCCCGGAGGTTTAAGACGCATGCTTCTCATGCATGAGGGTACGGGTTCAAAGCCTATCAAAAGTGACTTTTCCTATCACCTAAGTCAGCCCATACCCTGCCTGTATACCATAATTCATCAAAATCCGTTCAGTAGTTTCAGCGTGATTGACGGACAAACATCCAAACAAAGAAACTTTCACATTTATAATATATTAGTGTAATAAATATATAGATTTATTTAAGTCATGGATGTTGTAAATGCATAGTATTATTATGCGAAATAATAATTGTGATCACTATTGTCTACAGGCAGCCAGCAGGACAAAGTATGGCTGATATCAGAGAAGGACAAGTTCGACAACGACCTGGATCTGAACAAGGATGGCATCATCGACCTCCAGGAGATGCACAGCTGGATCATACCTGATAATGAGTAAGTTATCTTTAACTTGTGTGCGACAAAGAACTAAAGGCTGATGAATGGAAGTCAGGAACGTCTCACAAGATGGACCGAGAAAACCAAGCTTAAGCAGTGCAAGAGGGATGGAGCTATTAGGTTGTATAACTCTCTTGCACTGATGATCGACCATTCTGACACAATTGTAATAGCAGACTAAGGCCCCTAATTAGGGTCGCAGGGAGTCAGGTCACTGACCTATCTGGAACCCATTGGGGGAGGCCTAAGCAGTGAACGCTTTACCTTACTTTGTTAAAGGAATCTACATACTCATCATCATATTAACTACAAGACATCACCTGGACATAGATAACATAGGAACCCTGATTCTAGCAGGGACTAGTTTTTTTTCAGTCAGAGGTGCACATTACGACATTCAATGCCACTGTACAATAACACCCACTTTTCACTATTTAAGTTATGAGTCCCATGTATTAGGGGGTGAGTCTATTGTCATATACCAGAGACAATTCCATTTTTTTAAACCCAGTAATTTTTTGCCCAACCCTGGAATCGAACCCGAGGCCCTCTTTCCCGGCAGTCGCACTTGCGACCACACGGCCAACGAGGCAGTCTTTTGTTTTTCTTTTCTTGATAAATAACTTCTGATACAAATATTTTATTATGTAATTGGTAACATATTATGTCGAATCAAAGTTGACATAATACGTTTAAAATGGGAACATTTTGTTGTAAAAAAGGAATAATTCTTTTTTAACACGTTAAGCGCCATGGGGGTCACCGGTGACCGGCGTTAGCGGAGGATTTACCTTCAACAGTTTTTTATTGGCAGTCAAAGTCTTAAGTTATAGAAGGTTCGATAAAATGAAAAAATAAACGTATGTGGCTCTGTTTCTTTACTCCAAGTGTATGATTTGTATGTTTGTAAACACACCTACGACTCAGGAGTTCTCATATCACATTCAGACGTATATCTAAACATCTTCATTTGAAATAGTGTTACAAAATAAAACCGTACCACTAAGTTTTCTCTTATACAATCGTTATCGGCGCGACAGTGAAATAATTTGCAAGTTTACATCCATTTCTAATCGTACCATGTCCGTGCCAGATTAGAACAGTGTGTTATTATTATTATTAAAGTTGTCCGTTCTCATATCGCTACAATAATAGTTTGATTAGAATGCATTATTGTTACTCCTATTAAGGTTTTAAAGTAAAGGACCAAAGAGCACATAATAAACGTAAAATTTGAGAACAAACGTCAGACTTATCATTTATCAGCCATAAGACATCCACTGCTGAATATAGACCTAATGTCGAATCCAATGATTTCCAGATCGGTCGGTAAACGAGGAGACGGATCACCCGATGGTTAGCAATCCACGCTGCCTATAGACACCCGCGCACCAGAGGTGTTACAAGTTACCGGCCATTTGGGGTTACCGGTCTTTAGGGGGTTAGAAATTAAAGGATTGTTGAGGATTCGGGGATTTGGGAGATGGAGGGGGGCATAATTAGGGCCTCCGGTAACCTCACTCACACGACAAAACAAACCGCAAGCGTTGTTTCACTTCGGTTTTTTTGCTTGGCCGTGGTATCACTTCAGTTGAGCCGGCCAATCCGTGCATGGCATGGCTCTCCCATACTTATCTACCTATTATCTATTCTCTCTTCAGGGAAATAGCTGACGAGGAAGTAGACCACCTGTTCGCGTCAGCTGATGATGACCACGACGACCTGCTCTCCTTCGATGAGATCCTGCAGCATCACGACGTGTTCGTGGGCAGCGAGGCCACGGACTACGGCAGCGACCTGATGGGGGAGCACTTTGATGACGAGCTCTGAAGACTTGGCCTGCTCTTCCTGTACTTGAGCGTTCGTGTACGTTGAATATAGTTAATGTTTAAATTGTAGATCATTCTGGTCATATTGTTTATATGTGTTTTTGTTGATATAGTTGTCTTTATGTTTTTGAGTTTATTTGTGTTTTTATAACGAGCTTAATGATATTTCTATATAAAGATTAAATGGAAAACTTTAATTGAACAAATCTCATTTAGTTTTATGGTGCCCGGCGTTTAGTGCTCTGAATTTACACATATCATTAGGATGAACATTGATGATACACATATATAAAAATTATTTAACTACATATAAATGAAAAGTCATGCTTTTTTAAGCTCAAAAAGGTTTAATAACAGAGTTATCCCTAGTTTAAATGTTAACTATATTCACAACTTAATGCCTCAAGTTCAAGGCCAGTTCTCACCAAGCGCGCTTGGGTCTAGTTCTAAGGTTTTATAAATGGATGTCTACCGTGAGTAACGCGTCCAACTAATTTATTTACTAAGCAATAAGACTTCCCCATTCTTGAGGGGATGGGCGTAATATATTCAATTGTATTTATATTCAAAAATGTAGTGGTAAGTGTGCGTTTGTATTTAGAGTCCTTTTTCATTTAGATGCCATGGCTGTCCAACCACAAGATCTATACAGTCGTATAGGTTAGAAACATATTAGCTTACACACGTGAACCATTCGAGTAAAGCTCAACCAGTTTCGTGTCACATCGGGACTCATATGAAAGAAAGAAAGGAAAATCATTTAAACACGACACACCACATGAATACAGGTACACACAAAAAGCCCATGGTGCGTCGCAGCGCAAAAGAAACTATAAATATATAAAATACTAGCAAACCCGGCGAACTCCGTTTCGCCACGGCTTCGTTTTATGTAACATTCTTTGCTATAAACCTCACGGAGCCCGAGACCTTTCCAACTAATGCAAAACCGTAGAAATCGGTTCGTGCGTTCTGGAGTTATAGCGTCAGGAAGGAAAACCTGACTTATTTTTGTATAGTGGATGAATGAGTTTGAATCTAAAAGCTTTTCTAGAATAGTTCACAGTAGATCGAAGTAGTCGTATTCTGTCGGCGGCGAAATAAGCCCAAGTATTTGTTCTGGTGTCTTTGATACCTCGGCTTCTTGACTGGTCGTACAACCATGATACTCCAATGGAAAAGGGCTTAAATTGTGACTTAAATAATCAAAGTATTTTGTTTTATATCTGTTATTTGCATTTTATATTCTACTAACTATAACCGTAAAACCAATTTATCTGAGCCCAATATCTCGTAAATTTTAATGAATTGTGTACAATCGTGTGACACGCATAAGATCTTTTAAATTAAATTGTTCTTGTTGTTTATACACTATATTAATATTTAAACTACTTACGGCCTAATTTTAATGTTGTATTGTACTCGAATCTTACCTCATTTAGACCTGGAAATACAATATCCCTAATGAAAAACTGGCGGCAACGTAAAAACTACTTAATAACAAACTAGTTAAGGTTGATATTAGCCCAAAGCGCACTGTAAAATATGTAAAAATAACCAACATTTGTACAAAGTTATTCAATAATATCAAATAGATAGGCTTTGTTATAATTTTGCACAAACCACGCAATATGTCATGTCATAGACTAGTCATGAAATGTTAATATAATTTAAGAAATTGATTTAAAATGATGAACATTGTTTAAAATGTTGTAGGCCATCGTTCACCCCTGTATCGTCATGTGAGAGTATTAATTTAACACAAACAAATGTTACAATATGTCGGAAAGTGCTTATTAAACAATGTTTATAATATTCCGTGTGTTATTTCCTACTAGATATATCTTAAACCTGTCCTGAATTTCCACAAATAAATTAAAACATAAATTAGCCAAATCCATCTAGCGGCTCCAGAGATTTTGCGAGACTGAGGTATTTATTTCGATAAAAAACTGTCTAACTGTCTGCTTGCTGATTGAGAAATTACTTATATTTATTTAGCCCTAAAGCTTTTTGGCCTAAAACTATATACGATTAAAAAAGGGAAACTCAGGCGAATATATGATTTTAAAAGATGGACAAGTGCTAACAGGGGGAGAGTCCGTGGAGGAGTAGGTATGGCCGATACTTTCAAACTATGTATAGCACAGAACCCGCTACACTGAGGAACTGAGCGCAGAAGCGGCGAGTAGCACCGCGTCGTCAGGTCGTGTGGGTGGCATGCTGGAGCGAGCGGCGGTGAGTCGTGCTTAGGCTCGTCTACCACCTAAGCGATCAGTGGGGCCGGATGGTATACCACTTTTTATCCTCAAGCATTGTAGCTTGGTTTTAGTCGAACCATTACTACGTTTATTTAACATCTTTCTGGATGGAGGGAGGGAGGTTTCCTGATCCATGGAAACTTACTCGCGTCTTAACGGTAGGCACCGGAAGGTGGTGGAGGTATAGAAGCCAGCGACTATAGGCCTTTGGCAGTCCTATGTGCCCCAGCTAAGGTTATCGAGTCAATGATCTATAACCATCTGTTTGCCCACCTGACGAACGCTCAGCACGGCTTTCGCCCCGGTCGGGCAACTTATTGCTGATGATGCTGGTCGGCAGGTGGACGTAGTTTACCTAGACTTCAAAGAGACATTTGATACAGTTGATCACGATGTCCTCCTTAGGAAACTTGCTGGAATAGGCTTTACGCTACACACTCTTAAATTATTTTCCACATAATTTAGAGACTGGCGCCAATACGTGGACTGTGGCGGGCATCATTCTGAGCCGTATTACACGAGGTCCGGTTCGGGGTCAGCCAGGGCAGTAACTTGGGTCCATTAACGTTTAATGTAATGATAAAGGACACTTTTTGCCGATGACCTAAAACTTCTACTTACACGGAATACGAGATAATGACGACCATATTACTTTGCAACACGATATCGTCAGAGTCATTGAGTGGAGCCGGGAATTCAAGTTGTATTTCAACGTGGCTAAACGCTGTTCTGTCGTTCACTCGTGCAAGCAGTCCCCGTCACCACCGGTACTGCATGGACGGTGATCTGTTGCTACGCTTTACGGAGGTGAAAGATTTAAGAGTTCATTTTGTATCAGAGTTACACTTTAGATCAAAGTCAAAATCATTTATTTCAATTAGACCAGGAAGGCACTTTTGAACGTCAACAACAAAAATGTAGAAGTGAAGCTAGTTGCTCATTCTAAGGTGTAGATGCTTATGGAAACATTATGGATGAATTCCGTAATCTAGGTTTATGTTACGTCAGGCAAACGAGTTTAATAACATCGCAGCTATAAGGCCGTTGTGTACCAGTATAATACACCTATGTAAGTATGTATTATCTAGTGCGCCGTACGAGGCTTTAGTACTTGGAGTGCACAGCTTTAGGTCACTTGGAGTTTGGAGTGTAACGCAGGTATCTGGAGTTTACATGAGGGCAAACATAAGTTTATGATAGAACGAATCCAAAATAAATTTGCCAGATTCGTGTATTTAAAATCGTACGGTATATACCCTGGATACCCAATACTATATATCTAACGTTGTTTGTACACTGGATATGGTAGGCTATTATAAACTGAAGTTGAGGTGTGAATTAGCTCTAGCTACTTATTTATTTAAGGTGTTGCGAGGTATAACGCACAACCCAGCCCTACTGGAGGAATATAGCCTGTGTGTTCTGGATGGACGAGTAGGTACGTGCGGCGTAGGCGACGGCCGCGGCTGTTGGTGGTACCGTGCGCATGCACGAACCTCTTGCAGAAGGCACTAAAGACTACTACAGTATACTGGCTAGGAAGGAAGGCACTAACGACGCGAGCGTTGCGCACATTGAATGCAATAGCGGACAGTACGGATATATTCTCATGTACGTTACCTACTAAGTACCCACGAGTTTACAAAAGTAACTTGTGAGGCTGTTGTTAATACTAAGTTCCTAGGATTTGTACTTCATTTGATTCTATTTATGTTGATAGTACCTACATAGATTTTAAAATATATTTGTTGTTATCAAAGTTACATTTATTAGGGATAGTTTTGTGTACCTAATTATATTTGTCTGTAAGTTTAATTAATGTTCTTTGTGCTTATGGTATTTTGTCTTTCTTTGTCAAAGTTATTATTTTTATTTTAGGATATTTTATAGGATATTAGTTTACTATAGGATAATAAATCTAATAATAATAATGTTTGTAATAGTTGATGTTGATAAATGTTGTAGTAGTTTTTAAGCTCTAGATACTAAATCATGTGTAACTGTATTGTTATTAGGTGTGCCTACTGCCTGTGATGATAAATATAATGTTTAAGCCTTTGACTGCTGACAAAAAACTGTTGAGGGTAAATCCTCCGCTATTGTGGCCCATACCTTGTCCCCCATGGCGTTCAAGGTGTTAAATAAAAATTAATTCTAAAAATGTAGTATTGGTGTGTGATGTGTGATTCTCGGAAGACAGGTATTGAAACGCAGTGGACTGTATAACTTGCTGAATAAAAAGTACTGAGTGGTTTACCAGCCCCAGCTCAAATATGGCGTATTTTTGTAGTGACATAGTGTGTGAAAGGGGTGTGCCTTTTTATTACTCTTTTTGATCTCATTAACAGGAGAAGGGTAAAAATTAAATGAAACACCAGAAAGTCTTCCATTTACAATGTTTTTTTAATCAATATAATAATATTCTTAATAAATCCAAAATATTTACACAATACAAAAAACATACAATACGACCATGATCGGCGTCCGTGGCCAGCCGAGACGGCCAGTGTTACTATTACTAACCAATTTCGTGGAACTGCTTGCAACAACTACTCTATTGCGTTGGTATTAAAGTTCATTATTCATTGCCGCTTCCTTGTTTGAGATAGGTCTACTAAGATTGGTTAGAAAATAAGATCTGTCTTTCTTCGGAACTTATAGGAACCTATAAGTGTTGGTGCAAGGAAGCGGCGTCATCCAGGCTGCCCTTAACATTGCAACATTTCATGGTACGCCATGACAACCGCACTATAAAGCAGCACTCGCCATTGTATTGGAACAACGGCATACCACGAAACGGACAGCAAATATATCTAAAAGCTTTGATTAATATACAACAGTTGACTGACTCAACAATTTCATTGACAAATTTCTCCCAACTCTACGGTATGGGCTGATAACAGTTACTATACTGACACGTCAGGACTTGTTCCATCTTGCAGGTGTTACACAGTACAGACCTATCCTCTTATACATAAATAATAAGTTTGCTAAGGAGTGATGCAAGCCCTCGAAGGAAATTAACGTGATATCTTAGAACAAGCGAAAACTGATTGCGTTCACACAGCATACATAACATTGCTGATACATAGAGCGAGTAGCGACAATATAAACCAAAGTTTACTGGATGTACGGACCAACTGGCGAACGCTACAAGTACTTGCAATATATCGACAAATAGAGGTGTGACAGCTACATCAGAGAAATGATCGATGTTAAGTGTACAGCCTAATGTTATCGACACAAACTCCGGAACTGCCCCACACTAAGTCCTCCCTGTATGGAATGCGATTATAAAAAAGGATACGACATCAATGACCCACCGTTTACATTTTACTTATAAAATATAAATTATACAAGACAATATACATAATAATTAAATGTATAGAACAATTTATCCATCGAATAATTAGTGTTTTAAAAATAACTATATAAACTTCCTAACTGAGAAGTGTAAATCTATTTCATTAAATAACTATGCCGTATTATATTATTTTGAACTAAAATAATGTATGGATGAATGCACCTAGACATTTCGACGATTGATTTTATTATTAGTACTATGAAGGATTCACGTCTTGCTCCCAACCGATACGATTTATTGGGTATTCCCAATTCATTGTTAGGGTGTACTTCGCCCGGAATTTAGTGAGAGGTGTAGGGACAAAGGTTGAGTGGGTTGGAGACGAAGGTCAGCAGACTGGGTGCCGCGGGCGAAGGAGCGGGCATTACTGCCGGGGGAACGAAACTCCTCACTTATAAATGTTACTCTATATTTATATAAAATTACAATATTTTACCAAGCGTAACTGTTTTCGTCATTTTAAAACATTTCCGATTTATCAAACTTAAACAGAAAGTATATATAATATGTATATGATAAAAATATTTTATTAAACAGTGCAGACACAAAATGATAACATTTATAAGTAAAAGAACATTGCGACATCTAGTGGCGACCTAGTGAAACTAGTGGCACGCGACACACGTTCCCAAATGACAAGATGTTACTTTGCGACACTGAGATTGCTTGGGAACGGTGCGCCTGCGCGATTGTGAACAGATGATTAAAATAATATTAAATGTATATGTAACGATACACAAATGTAAATGCACCTTCACCAATAATTTTGACAATAAACGCGTCTATGTGGCAGCACGCCTCAGTCGGGGGCACAAGCAGGGACGACACGAACGATCCCTCGTCTCTACTCGGCCCCCCACTGGCGCACGCTGCGCGTTGTATTACAGATATAACACAAGCTCAATTACTGCTAAACGAAGGAATCTCGTTAAGTAACCCTACTACTGCACAGTGCACTGCTAACTTGATACAAACGAAAGTAAATATAATCATTTTTTATTACATTTTCATTACAGTTACAAATAAGTTTTAAAACTAGTTATCATTTTTTTATAATTAGCTTGTTTTTTATTAATATTATATAATGTTTTTAATGCGGCCCGCGTGGACGTACGACACACTAGTATGAGGCGAGGCGAGCCAGGGAGGCGAGTCGTATTTATATTTAATTAATATTGCATAAAAGGTAGATATACATATGTATACAGCGGACTGCCTCGCGAGGCGTAGCTCGGTAACAATTAGCTAGGAAGGAGGCGAATGCAACGGATGTCCAGAGACAGCTTCAGTACTAATGTCGACCCTGCAGCATGCTATGTGTTATATTTCATAGATTGATGGAATGAGAAGCTGCCGGGTGTGTGTATGTCCGTGCGGGGAGTGCGGGGCTCGCGCGGGGCTCGGGCGGGGCTCGCGCGGGGAGTGCGGGGCTCGCGCGGGGCTCCGTCTGCCGGCGGCTGTATCATTACCTACTACGTACCTCAACCCGCGTGCACGCCCTCACCGTACGGCGGTTATTCTGGAATATTTCAAAACATCGTCTTAGAACAATCGTCACATCATATTTTATCTACAAGAGCTGCCTAGTAGATAGGCCTGCTAGATAGGATATTGTGTACAAATATGATTTTACAATGTACAACATAGAGAAATGTCGAAATAATGATAGAATGGAGTTGCTCATGAGTATGAGTGTGACATATAACAAGCATAGCCTTTCTCGCATAATTGACAAGTAAGAACTTTATTTCAATTAGTGTTGTGTAGTAATTATACGATGATCAATTTGTACCTACCGTGCCGGTACCTATCACTTGCAGCAGGAGGAGGAGCGCGCCTGCTCGGCGTCCCCGAGGCGACGCGCGCCGCCCGCGCCCGCGCTGCCGCCGCCCTCGCTCTTTGGTAACTTGTTGGCTGGAATATTCACAGGCACATATTAGAAAAAGTTATACGATACTCGGTGATAAACAAACCCCTTCAGTACATAAACTACAACTTTTTAAGTAGAGTATAGTTTCAACAAAATCGACAAATGCAACAAGACAAAACACATTAGTATAAAAAAATACCAAATATCTTTTTACATCTGGTAGTCCTTTTGGAGAAAATTATGTAGACATTACGAGTTATTCAACTATACGTAATATTATCCAGTTACTCACCGATAGCTAAGAAAATGTCGTTGACGTTCATGGCGGTTTTGGCGCTGGTCTCCATGAAGAGGAGCCCGTTCTCGTCAGCGTAGGCCTGCGCCTCCTCGAACTCCACCATGCGCTTGGCGGCCAGGTCGCTCTTGTTGCCCGCCAGAGCTATCACTATGGATGGCGACGCTTGCCGCTGCAGCTCTTTCACCCAGTTCTTGGCGCGACCGAATGTGTCCTGGAACATAGATTAGGAATATATTACTTTAATTATATTCACAAATCAATTTTAGTCAGCGGTTTCAACCCCGTTACCAGGATAAAAATCACACAATAGTTTCAGCAAATCTTTTACAGATTTATTCAACAGTTCCTTCTCCTACATTTATAGCCAGTTTAAGTTTTTCAGACCATTGTTATCATTTCACTATTTTAAAGTATTTCCCTATGTATTCAATGTATTCAAGCTATGAAAAGTGTGATGCCAAGTTATAACACTACCAAATACATGAAAAAACAACCGTAAAGCTACTCATACAGGAATCGATAATAGAATTAAATATAAATATTGATTTCCTACTGTCCGTACATTATGAATGACTGTCGTGTCGTCGTGTGCGAACTTGCGTAGGCAGGTATTAACTATACATGTTTAGCTTCTACGTATGTAAGCATCGTACGACACTATGACACTATTCATAGTTATAAACAGAACATGTCTTCATTAAATAAGCCGTTTAACTTAATATCATGGCATTTCCATCTAAACGATAGAGAAGCATATATTAAATTTGTTAATCTAACTTTAACAATGGTAAAAAGTGGGCGAAAGAATAATAAATGAACACCTATGCCTGCTCCTTTAAGAAGACTTAGTGAGTTTAATACATAAGAGATCCCTTTGTCTATCCCAGATGATGAGACTCCATGGTGAACCTATGGCCATGGCTTGTTCACTAAGCCAGGAGTATATAACATAACCTTGGAATTGGAATGAGCAAATAGCTTCACTTTTTGTTGACGTTCAAAAGTGCGTTTCTGGTTTAATTGAAACAAATGATTTAGATAATAACTATCTGCGCACGCTGCTCATGAGGAAGAACCCCTCTGTGGTTCGAAACTAGTAGAGCTTTTCTCAGTATATTCACGTGAGTAACCCGCGATTTATTAAGAATTAATAAATGATTTTGACTTTTAACTAGAAATAAATAACTAGCCTGCTACTTAAAGGGATCATAATGCTATTGTTATGTTTAATATATTTAATACTTGTCTGTGTGTACAGTAAATATTTATATTTGTATATGCGACAGTTATCTCTGGCGGGCGGGCGCGCCCTTGAACTCGCGAAGTCCTACTGGGGTAATACCATTTGCAGAGTTGGATTGGCCACAGCCAAAATATTGAATTGTCTGTCTGTGTGTGACTTACATGATTTCGCGCTTGTTTATTATAGTGGAGGTGCAAGCAAAGCTGTTCTGTTAGCCACAATTTGTCTGTATTAATCACTAATTTCATCTGTGTTTTAGTATTTTGCACTCTAGCTAGTTACTACTCACGTTAGTTATTGGATTAGATATATTAAAAAAGGGCCAAATTAAAAGTACCCTTAACCGACGAGCATGCATAAAAAGATTGATAAGAGTGTTGATGAAGCGAAAGAGGTATGTGAGAATCGTAGTAATTGGCGCCCCCTAGTCTCTGCCTACCCCCATGGGAGACAGGCGTGAAGTTATGTGTGTTTGTACGTTAATTATTATACAAAGTTATAGTAGTCACTACAGAGATTGTTACAGCTATCAATGTAATTAGGAATGGAGTTACAACTCTTTTTATTTTCTTGACCTAGGACTAGAAACTTAAGTCCTTGACACTAACACTGAATATTGACTTTGTTTCTTCGACAGTATTTTCTATTAAAAAACACCTGAAATATAGCCTGACTCGTTGGCCGACTGCTCGCAAGTGCGACTGCCGGGCAATGGGTCTCGGGTTCGATTGCCGGGTCAGGCAAAGTATTACTGAGTTTTTAAAAAAAAATCTCAGTAGTAGCACGGAGTCTGGAATTGTCCCCGGTATATGGCAATAGGCTCACCCCCTATTACATGGGCTTATACCATAAATCGTGAAAAGTGGGTGTTACATTGTACAGTGGCATAATGTACACCGCTGCCTACCTCTTCGGGGATAAAAGCGTGATGTTATGTTATGTCTGAAATATAGCTTAGAATAACCGTTGAAACAGGAACAACCCTATGATTTATACCAATTAAAATACCAGTATCTGGAGTCTAGCTATGCAACATCTACAATAGGAATGCAAGTATGATGATACATATATACGTATAGTTGTATACAATGAGTCATGACCATGACACGTCGATTTCACATAGCAAATAACTGTGGGTAATCCCAACTCCAAGCTATTTTATGTATTGTAATATTGTACATGTGTACGCTAGAATCTAGATAATACATTGATAGCAAAGTTCGATACAATATCTTGCAGCCTGACGATTGTTTTTGTGAACAATATTATGAAAACGTTATATATTGTTATATTTATTATTATTAAAGAACTGTGGTGTGCTGGACTATGTGTAAAGTCAATTTTCACCATTAATTATTTAATTTTATTAGTTTACCATTCCATGTAACAAAGGATGACTTTCTAGAGCAAAATTATTAGAATATAGAAAAAAATCTCGATCTTTTTTGGTTAATCAGAAGAGTCTAATATATAAAAGTATAAAACGAATTGAATACAACCTTAATGGGGTAGACGACTAATTTTTATTTTAATGTCCGTCTGATAGATTATTTAAAAACATTAGACACGTATTTTTTATTTTCTCACAGAAACGAATAGTTTCGAAGATATATTGATTTGAAATGTCGCGTGACGTCACTTCTCAGTACATTTTATACTAAGCAATGACGTTTTAGCCCCCACTCCTAAACTTTGATTCGTTTTATCTAAGTATTGTTTTATTATACGACAAAATAAAAAAATTCGTGTCTAATATTTTTTCATTACCTAACTTACGGACTAATTATATTTTTAATTTTCATACCCTGTCATCATCCCCATTGATTAAAAATAGAGCATAACGAGCAGACTAAGTTCATACGTCAGCTATTTCACACAGATTAAAAATGCATTTTAGGATACATACACACATTGACCTATCAAAATATCGTAATAGGAACTTTGTTTACCAAGTTATTTCTTAACCTCTTAACTATGCGAGACCTGTTATACAATATTATGCCTAATGCTGATCTATATACAATTCACAATTGTATAATCGGAGCGATTAGAGATAAACTTTGGAACATTCGCGGCTTCGTTGTATCATAGAGATTATTGACGTATGTGTAAGTGTCAGTTTTATACTAATCTGTACAAATAAAAATTACTCGCTGAAACATTATTGTAATACATTAAGGTTGAGAATCTATCAAAATATGAGAGGGCAAAGACATGTCTTGTCGAGGTAGATAAACGATTAACTTTGATAATAATAATTATTATAATTCAGTAATGACTGAATCTACACAGATAAATAAAATTGGAGTGTCTCTTTGTAATATCAAAATAACCGCTTTCTACTACACGCATATGAATATACATGCGATACATATACCAAATTAATACTTTTTACTATTTTTGTCTGTATGTCTGCCTGTTTGTACTGGCTTATCTCTGGAATGGCTGGACAGATTTTGCAATACTTTTTGTTGTAATAAGGTAAATATTATAATCTTAAGTTAAATAATATAAGTAGCGCCATCTAGTGTTAAGTTGGCAAGTTTCTCATAGACGTCGATATATTATCTGTATTCTCCCCTTTTGTCGTCTGCATGGCGCCCATCATGTGCTTTCTGTGAGATTTTTAATAAAACTACGAAATATAACAAGCTATTATCTATTATTCAACCACATCCACCACTTCAACATGGTAGCAGTCCGTGGTTAAGTGGTTTCACGAAAAAGTCAATAAATATGAAGTGCAATTATGAAATCAAATTACGATTGAGGTTATCCGGTCACAACGGAAAAGTTAGTTTTGAAAACGTCTGAATCTACAAGAATATACGTAAATATGGCACAACAAGCTAAAATAGAAGACATCATGATACCTATTTTTGATGGGGCAAACTATTCGAGTTGGAAATTAAGGTTGGTTACTTTGTTGGAATACAAAGAATGCAACGAGGCCGCCATAGGCATAATGCCGGTGAAATATAAAAATACAGAAGCGGAATGGAAGAAGATGGATTTAAAGGCAAGGACTATTATTATGAGTACTATTTCGGACAAACAATTAGAATATATCACTGAGTGCAAGACAGCTTTTGACATGTTACAAAAGTTCGACAAAATGTATCTTACTCAATCAACATCTCTTCAAATTATATGTCGAGGAAAAGTGGAAGCGATCAAATTAAATAATTACGACACAGTAGAGGATTTCTTCGTTGATTTTGAAAAATCCATAAACGAATTCAAAACAGCCGGAGGTAAAATTGATGAACCTGAAAAGTTAAGATACCTGCTCAGAGCCCTACCACCAAGTTATAGTTATATAGGAGATTTTCTGGACGTGATTCCTGAAGAACAAAGGACTGTGGACTATGTACATTCAAAAATAAAGGAGAAAAATATGACTATGTGCGATGACAAGAAAAATAATGTGAGTACATATACAACCAGCACCACAAGAGCTCAATGTTTTGTCTGTGGTAAGACTGGTCATCTCAAGAAGGATTGTTGGCACGCTCAGAGAAATAATCAAGGACAAAAAAGTTCTCAAGGAAGTTTCCAGTCGTCTAGTCGGGGTCAGCGAGGACATCAGAGAGGATCCTACAGAGGTCGCAGCCGAGGCAGAGGTCAAGGCCACTCATCTAGCAATCATCCTAAAGGTGAATCTTCGAGCAACGGTCCCTTCCAGTCATGGACAGCTGAAGTATGTAAACCAGAAGTAAACCAGGTATCCGGATGTAATGAAAAGGTAACATTTAATAATAATAGTAATGTAGTTAATTGGCTTTTAGATAGTGGGTGCACTGACCATCTTATAAATGATTATTCATATTTTTATGACAGTGTAGATTTGAAAGATTTTGTTGATGTAAAATTACCAGATGGAAAAACCTTGAAAGCAACCAAAGTAGGTACTGTAAAAATGTATTTCAAAAACTATTATAGTGTGAAGTATGTAGATTTAGAAAATG